AAAGGCATCTGCGAATCCAGGGTGGCATGAAGGTGTTTGGGGCTGCTCTCACAGGCTCACAATAGCCAGAGAAGAGAGAAGGAGGGAACATCCATGAGCAACTTACCCGAGAGTTGTGTCTACTTCGGTTCGGTAAAGACCAGACAGAGAGATCCATGGATGGTAATCAAGTTTGCGGCGCTCGGAAGAACACCTCAGAAATGGAAAGCAGCTTCCCCCGTTTCCCCCCCTTTCCTCCTGCGGCCGCCTTACTCGAGTCGAAGTTGCCATTTGGAGAGCTCCTGCTCCTGCTCCTGGCTGTGCCTGTGCCTGTGCCTGTGCTTGTGCTTTCCATCTTGACGGGATCATGCTCCTGCTGCTCCTGCTGCTCCTGCTTCTGCACCTGCTGGCTGCCCTAGGAAGCGGCAGGCCTGGCCCCACCTTTTCCTTCCTCAGTGCGTTCTTTCTTTCCATTGCCCGCGTTCCCGACCATCCGAAGTTCTGATTCGCCGTGTGTCTCCACGCAGACCCCACATCCCTGGGCCACCTCTTGCAGCAGGTGCAGCACACTGTCTGAGCGAGCTCCTGTTCTTTCCACGGCGACACAGACTTGAGAACGGGAAGGAACACTGAAGCAGATGCGACTCGGGAAAGGAGGCAGGAGAGGAAAGCGAAGCAGATGCGGGAAACAGGAGACGGGACACACGCAGTCGCATCACCTCCTGAGTCCTGGCAATCACCTGTCCTTTCGCACACGTGCAAGTCCAGGTCCAAGTGCGAGCTGTGACTGACTAACCAACTGGGCAGTCAGTCCAAGGTACCTACCTACCTTACGCAGTACCGCGACACGACACGACACGACACGACTCACCTGCTTTTGCAGCCCTTGGTCATTTCCCTCAGCAGCAACCCTTTATCGGTGATTCGGTGCTGCTGCTGCTGCTGCTGCCTCCATGCGCGATCGGCCTGGCGGATAACCGAGCCGGCAGAATTTCCCCATGTTTTTCATTCTGCCCTCGTCCTCGTCCCAGGCTCGCCAGGCCAGGCCATGCCATGCCATGCCATACCATACCATTCCGCGCCATGCCCACGTCCAGGCCCAGGCCTCGTCACATCATCCGAGCCGAGAGTCAACCATCGATCGTCCAGATCGCGACCGCTCAACACACAGACGACAATTTATTGTTATTTTTGAACAACAGCACGAATCAATCAAGAGAAACAAGTCCAAACAGACATGGCACGATACGATGGAAAACATCAACGGCCGAAAGTGCCGCTCATGACGGAGCCATGACTAAACGACCCTCGACCCTCGCCCTCCCCACGTCCACATCACACCGCTGTCTGTCCATCACAACGCTCCTTGCTCGATTGCCCTCGCGGCTCTGTCCCTCTACCCCGCCCTAAACCTCATTTCGAAGGATTCCCGGCGCTGAGCAAGCCTCTTCTGGACAAGCCCTGCATCGATCTCTGTTAGCGCTACCACGAACCCAACTGCCTGACGCATGCGCTTCATGCTTTGGCATTCGCCGGTCTGGACTGCACTCAATTTTCAGTTTTTCAGAACGCCCTGCGCTGTTCGGTGTACGAATAGTACTTCGTACGGACGGACCGGACTGCGCTTGTCACTTTTGACAGCCATCCATACTCGTCCATCAAGGCCCTGAGTAGTATCATCCATGCTAACGCAGCACTACGCACTTTATTCAATATCGCGATCACCATCGTCTGTCAATGCCGCTCCAGTTTATCACAGAAATAAACAGCGAAGCTGTCAGAATTTTTCGCCTTGTGGGACACCAAGCAGCGAAGGGCCCTGCATCACGCAACCCAGGAACGCAAACGATACCCTCGCAACTCAGCTCCTAGAATTCTGCTGGAATGGACCCCTTCGACCCCTTCCTTTTCAGAGCGGGGGAAGGGGATCCCACGGCCCTTCTTTTGCTTCTCCCAGACTCCCACTTCTTCTGCCATCCAGTCTCGGCGAGGGGAATTTGCTCCATGCCCACGGCACCGCACCGGCAACGCACCGCACCGCACCTTCAGATTGTCTCATCGAACCTGCACGAAGAAAAATATCACCTTGTTTGACCTGCCATGCGGCGCGTGGCTGTCTGGCTCTGGTCTGGCCTCTCCACCGCCACGGATGGCGCAAACTGAGTCACTTCGCCCTTCGCCGCTGGTTTATTGTTCGTCTGCCGATGAATGAGCCGCTACTCTTATCTACACATTCGCGAGCTCCACGTACCCTCGCGTCTGCGTCTGCGCCTGCGCCTACGTCTACAGTACGTACGTCCGCGCCTGCGTCCGCGTCCATTGTGCCCTGGTCTCCGGTCTCCGTCCCCCGTCTTGCTCGTCCCGAGTCACCTGTGGGCGCTATTCCCGATTTGGTGATTCGCACCCAGGTACCTTGGCACTCAGCGCCAGAGACGAGAACACCTAAACCCCAGCAGGCACTGAACATTTGACGGAGTCCGATGTACCCGCCGTACTTTGAACGACGCTCGCTCTCGTCTATCTCAAAAATGGCTTCCAAGGTCAAAAGGGAACAACAGGGGATGCCAGACGGTGGCCCCGAGCCGAGAAACGCTGAAGACGGTGCCTGAGTTTGCGGCATCCCGCAGTGTCGATGCTGTGCATCGCGCAAGACGGCAAGTCATCTGATCAACGAAAAGAAGCGTGGGGCCAGCCAGAGGGACTCGCGCCATCAAAACGCCTCTGTTGGCCCAACATGTGCCTATCACAGCCCTCGACAGCCGACATGGACGGTCTCGGTCAAGGTCAAGGACTCCAAGGTCGCGCCCAACTGACAGGGAGGCCGTCTTGGATGTGAGACGGGCCCGAGCAGAACCTTATCACCACGACAGGCACCCTCCTTTCTGCTGCAGGACGTCTTCTGATTGATTCTGCGATGCTTCCTCGCCTTCTCAAGGTTGTCGTGTGTTGCCCTGAGCGATAGTTCGTCTGCTATTTTTGACCCCAAACTACTGCGTATTGCGTTTATCGGCTTGAAATTACGTCGTATGCCTCGATGAAATCTTCCATGTCGGCGCTCCCGACGGGCACATCCGCGCACAAGACTTGCCAAAAAGTCAGAACCCCGGCATGATGCAGGCCAATTTTCGACGTTCAGCAGGACGTGAGTGGCAGTGGCCCAGGGGAAGGGACCCGGGGCGGGCTTTATCTTGGGAAAAAGAGGGCAAGGGGCAGGGGAGGCTTGCAAGCGTCGTCGTCAAGTCACTTTGTACCTCCCTGCCCCAGCACGGAGCAGCTCTGGTGGTGCTTTCCAGGGCACTGAGTGCTGAGTATCCCGCAGGTACATCCGTACATACAAAGTAGGTATGTGAACGGAGCCCAGGCGGGGTAAAGACGGTGTTGCAACAACCTGGCAGTCGCACAAGAGAGGGGAAGAGTCGTGTCGAACTCGACTGTGCCGTCGATCCCTCCTCTCCAAAGCCCAAGACCAGACCTACCTCGAGACTTGTGCCGTTGCTTGCGACCAGTACCACCCCGCGGAATACCGATTTGCGAATTCCGTGTCTTCTTGCAGTCTACATCCCCCTAACTTCGCAGACGGTATACGAATACGTACAAAGGGACAGACAGGCAGGCGGCACTGCTGCTATCTATTACCCATCCGCTTGCAAGGGCCCGAGGTGAACGACTCGCGCGCCGTCTCGTCTGGAGCGGCTGACCTGGAGCTCAACCCCCTCGCTCTCGCACTCCTGCTGCGCTTCGTCACGCATCTGCTGCACTTCTGCGCTGCAGATCACTCCCTGACTGCGAGATACCTACCAACGCTTCGTGCTGCTTCCCAACAGCCGCAAAGCTTCTAGCCGCCTCTTAATCGCATCACCACTGCAACAGTGACCTACCTGCCGGACGCATCCAAGCAGTTTAAGCTTCAGCTCCAGCTCCAGAACCATCCGACAGCCGACGCGCCACTGCAGCATACGCGCGACCTGGCGCTTGCAATCTGACGACCTGTTCACTACCGGGCTCCGGGCTCTGCTACCCACGCTGCAGCCTTGTCTGGACCTCCAAAGTCCGACGACAAACCCGGCCTTCTGCCCGCTTACGTTCATCTCGTCCCGACTTCATCATCTTTGCTCACCCCGGCCCCTTTCCCAACGTTAATCACCGACGTCATACTAGATATATCTGGCACCGCCCTTATCGCCATTCATTCCGTCTGCAGCTCTCCGGAGGTCGATATCATAACCGCGTGGGTAACTCAACGGCTTGCAGTCGACAAATATCTCTGTAGTGCGGCGTCGAGGCACGGCACCTCGCACCCCGTCGCATCTCATCGCCCCCAATGCCGCGATCAAGTTTCTCAGATAACCCGTTGTTGCGGGTGTCGCGGCCCGTCTCAGCGTGTTCGCGATGTGAGTACCATGTTCGCGCGGCTGACTGCTTCTACCTCATGCAGAGCTAACATTGCCCCACAGGTCGAGCCGCAAAGGTCAAGGTACATTGGATCCTCCTCAGCTGCCCAGCCTGACGTATCAAAGAGGAAATGCTGATGAATAGGTTTGCTATTCTAGTGTGATGGCAAGCTCCCAGCTTGCACCGCCTGTGAGAAGGCTGGCCGTGAGAATGAGTGCTCCAGTGCTAATGACCAGTTTGCCCGAGGCAAAGAGAGGAGGTACGCTCTTCAGAGAGCCTTCATCAAGGCATAGATCGCTGATGAATCGCAGCTACGTCGCCGCATTGGAACTGCGAATCGAGAAGTTGGAGAAGCGCTTAAAGTTCGCTCAAAATCGGAAGGCTTCGGTCAGCAATCATATTAACGACGAAGCTGCTCCTCCGGCCGATCGCAAAGACTCATTAGCCAACATCCGAGCTGCCATCCACCGAAAAGCCGCACGTAGTAGAGAAGAGTCTGATGTCAACGCCCTTGTATCCGATTTTGGCTTTCTGTAAGATGGTCCCATAGCTCTGCTTCGTCTTCCTCACTGACACCTGACAGCTCGGTCAACGCAACAACCCGTGACTTTGAGCCATCCCTCAGCAACATGACGTTTGCTCGCTTGGTGTTGGCGGCAGCGACTAACGACAAAGTTCCTGATCCGACGGAAGACAGTTTCCCAACGAGAACGGACGCCGCGGCCACCATCGACTACTACATGAACAACGTTCATGCCCTGTTTCCCTGCTTCCCCAGGGACCATGTTTTTAACGTTTTGGACGCGTTCTATCAACAAGACGAGAGAGTGAAAGAAAAGCTTCAGGACTCCGACTACTGGTTGCTGTACATGGTCCTGGCCATCGGCTACTCCGCCCGAAGCAGAAACAAAGACGACGAGTGCTATCGCCGTGGCCTTGACTTTGTCGCTCGAGCATTGCCGTTTGCCGATAAGGCGCTGATGCCCGGTTACCCAACACAAATCTCATCCCTCATTCTCTTCACGCAGTACTCCATGCTGGATCCGGCTCACTTTGACAGCTGGTATCTCATTGGGTTCGCAAGCAGGGCAGTAGTTGATTTGGGATTTCACCAGGACCCGCCTCAGCTGCAGGTTCCCGACAAAAACGCCCAAGATTTAAGAAGGAGAATGTTTTACTGTGTGTACGCGCTTGACAGGTTTGTTTTTCCTCCATTTTGTTCTTTGTAATACTTTCTGACATTGAGCGTAGAACAATCAGTATGAGCCGCGCCCGATCGTTCTCGTTCACAGACGATTCAGTGAACGTAGAGTACCCAAGCCCCTCGGCACCACCATCCGGGGCCATCACTGGAACTCAGTCTGCCGATCCGGCGCTGCTTCTGTTCCAGCTCAGACGCGTTCAGTCGGAGTGGTATCAAACCCTGCACCAGGGAGACTCAGCGCCGCTCCCCGATCCTGCTTCTTTCATCTGGCAAATGTGCCTCGAGATGAGAGAGTGGCACGAAAACCTGCCCGAGAAGGACAGTCTTCCGGCTGGCATTCGGGAGCTATTTGAGCTGGAGCTGAGGCATAGTTACGTCTATTGCCTCGCGCCTAGTGATCGCTCTCCTCACCTGACCGACTACGCCCGAAAGCTGATCTTCGAACACGCGATTGCATACATGAACACCATTCATGCTGTCGCCCATAACTCCGTCAACCCGGCTTTCTATACCTCCCTAGATGCGCTCAAGGTCTATTTCGTGGCAATGCAGTTCTTCACTGTCTTCAGCGCCGCCCGCGAACTTCTGCTCTCTGAACAGCGCATCATACCGCCCATCACACGCCCAGGGACAGCACCTCCTCCTCCTTTACCACACCGTCAAATGGGTGGCGAGGATAACGTAGACAGAAGCATACGATGTTTACAGCAAGTTGTGGAGACGCTCGGGAAGTTCTCCGAGAGGTTTGATATCGCTTCATCTTTGAAGGATGGGTTTGAAAGCATATCATCGGAATTGTTCTCGTGGCTGCAGGTCCGACGACAAATGAGAGATCAGCAACCGCAACAGCAGCACCATCAACATCAGCAGCACCAACAGATGCCTCCCGGCCCGTCGCCGCCGCAGCCTCAACATCCTACTCACCCACCTCACCCTCATCCGCAGGTGCTCATGACACACCCGCAAATGCAGATCCCGGGCATGATGCCACAGCCTGGGCAACAGCCAATGATGCAGTACAGATGGGTTGGTGATGGCTCGGGTCAGATGATGCCTGGGGGCCAGCCTGGCCCAGGCGGCCCCCCTAGATGAGATATTGAGTTAGACTGGTAGTGATTGCGTCGGCGCGTAGGTTAGAAAAGTACACCGGGACACCCTGTATTCTTAGATTATGAGGAAATGCTTAAAGGACTTTGAGATCAAGTTACCGTCGCTGACTTTGACGCATGGCTGCGGGCTACACGCTTCTCTCTAGGCCTGTGTCTGATATCCTCTAGCTCCCCCTGTCGATGGCTCTCTCTCCGGCCTTCCCCTTGCGACCAGTTCTATAGCCCTCTGGGCGATGTGACTAACTTGAGCCTTCTGGTTGTATCTTTCCTAGCTCTCTGCCTGGGCCCAATGGCTGACCTGGACCCTCTATATAGTTAAACATCTCAAAATCTGCAATATCTAGAATGTCAATAGGAGATCCTTCCTCTGTCAATACGTTGAAATTAAATAAATCGGGGGACTGTGCGTTGTCTGGGAAATTCTCGTCTTCGGTTTGGAAATGTTGAGCACAAGGTTGCAGCTCGCCATATGGATGAGGTCTCTGGTCGTCATCATCTTGTGTCGAAAGATCTACCGTAGACGCATAAGGTTGTGGATTAGCCATCAACCCCTGGTCGCTAGGATGACAATTGGCTTCAGCCCCCTCTGAGTACCCGAGTAGGTACTGGTTGAGTGCAGTCTCTGCGGTGGACATCAACCCTCGGTTGCTGCGAAGCCATTGGTCGAACGCGTGTATGAACGGTATCTCGTCGGCGGCGGACGCCAGATGAGCTAGAATGAGGGAAATCAGAAAGTTTCTCAACCCATGGCCAGGGGGAAGGACATTACCCTTCTCTGGGAGGACCTTTGGTCTCTTTTGTAGACCCAGGATGACTACAGTATCCCACCACTTTTCTCGCATATCATTTTCATCCAGGACAGAGCCCTTTCTGGGCAATGAATCCGTCCAGGCCTTCCAGGCGTTGTACTTTGTCCGGTTGAGAACCGGTGCTATTCTTTTCCCATCGTTGGCGAGGTCTGGGGCATGCTGGCGTCGTAAATGTTCACTGTGAGGTATAGGTTATTTCGGCTGTCTCAGTCAGGGACTATGAGAAGACGTACTTGAGCTTCTGGGGCGATGAATACCCCGGTCCATGACAGGAAGCCACTCTACCCTTGTAACTGCCAGAGCCGAACAGCATAACTGGGCAATGCATGTTCTTGCGATGAGCTTGGAAGCCTGTTGTAGCTCGAAACTCCTCGTAAAGAGTGACAAAGACGGAGAAGGAATCAAGCTCCAGTCGTCTATTACCACCGTTATTCCGCCCGGCCATGTTGATCGGCAAGTCTCGGTTCGATGTAAGACACAGTTTAGCGACCCCAGAATTGTAGGCTTTGTCGTGATAGGTGCTTGATCGATGGCGGAGCCCTGGCGCGAAGTGAGGGGCAACAATCGCTCCAAGATGGTATACTTAGTATTGGGCGTGCATTGCTGACTTAGTTCTGAGTGGAGATGCCGGATAACTCCCTCGAGTACTAGCAACTGAGGCTCACCTGCCCCAGTGACCTGGTCAGAATCGAGTACACATGAGTTCGGAGGTTGGATAACATACCTGCCTACTGCCGGACCAGAGCGCATTGTGGAGGAGATCCTCGCAAACAGAAAGGCGCTTTAGGTTGTCTATTAAATGGTAAATAAGGTGGCCAGGAGGAGGCTGGAGCTGCACATTCGCGGACGGCCGAGAGCAGCGGGTGTGGCTGTGGTCCCGGTTCGGTGAGCAAGCCTTCTTCTACTTTCAAACTGGTGGTATCAAGTGCGTTGACCTACGTCAGCAAGCATACAGGCGGTTTCGATGAATGCCAGTCGTTCATTGCTTTTGTGGCTGATGTGTGCGCCAACCATAGATGGCAGCTGAGTTGGGTGGTGTTCGCAGGCAGGCCGTCGCGACAGGGTGGTGTCCACATGGAGTCAGGCTGCATCTGAAGTGCCCAATCAACAGCCCGCAGAGAAAGCCTCATGAAATGGGATTCTGGTAATGATAGAAAAGATGGAAAGTGGAAGCCCGTTTCGGCTAGCTGAATAATCTAGTTGGACGCAACGTTTGTCAAAAATGCACTTTCAAAATGGTTTGGCAAGACGGTCGGATATAAACGTTAAGCCATGCCTAGGGAGTAGTGACCTCTTGCCAGGCAAATCATATTCGCCGTGGGTTGGTCCCAGTTGCGACGATGTGCTGGTATCGACAGCATCACTTAGAGATTGAGCAACAGTTGACTTGCGATGGCGCTCCAATTTAAGGGCTCGCATATCCTACCTCTCATCTACAAATCCACGACTCGGGTACCTTCAACTGTCAAGTCTTGCACCAAGCGGATGACCACAAGTAATCGCTTTGCCCTCATTTCATCATGCCACTCATCAACAATACGGACGATGTGGCGCTCGACCCCGTTCCACTTACGTTTCAAGCCCTTCCCGTGATCGTCGCCGGAAAGCATGATACATTCTGGCTATTTCATCTACGTATCAGACGCCTACAGACGATTGAGGAGACAATGGATCAAATACATCAGTTCTTCAACACCACCGACTACCGTAATAGCCCGGCTATTCCCCGTGGGCGTTTCTCAAACCTATTCCTCAAGACATCCATCCGCAGGGCAGAAATCTCGAGGGTAAGTCCGGCCTCTTGTGTCGCCTGACTGGTGGATACTTCAACAGTTGGAACGAGGGCACATCGTGGCGTAGACTGTGCTGACGACCATAGGTTGATGTCTCGAATGGGGATCCTGAAGCTGCGACTTTGCCCCGAAAGGTTACGATCACTGCAGACGAGTATTCCCCTGACCTCACGGCATTCTTCCGACGCCCTTCTCTCAGCAAGTACTGTGACCGTTTTGCCAATCGCTACCCAGATGTCCTTTGTGACGCCGCGCAGACGAAGTTCATCTTGATCCACTACGAGATGAGCAAGACGGCGGTTGGAATTGCTGCGGGGCTGGTGGTTGTCTTCTGGTTGCTTATCAGTGCCCTCATTGGTGTTGTACGAAAGAGACTGGAGACCGGAGTGACGGTCGCTGGTGTTGGAATTGGAGTCATGGCCTTGTTTGTGGCTGTCATCAAGGGAGTCCAGAAGTAGGTTGCCTCGCAAGGATGCGTCGCTGGTTGGAGGACTTGGTAGATTGTCGACGGTGCTGTTCTTTTCTGATACCTTCCTGTACTTACCGAAACTGTTCATATCGACGTGTGAAAGATACACTGGGCAACTGACAACTTACATAACAACAAAATGAACTTGCGCATGTCTGTTTTGGTTACGTAGCTACTTCATGGGTGCAGGCAGCCTCGAGTCCAGCTTTCGATGTGAATCCGCTGTCTATACGAAAGATCAATGAGGAGAGATTGATAGCCATGTTATCCTAGAGTAGGTTCCTGGACCATGGGACGTCGAGTTGAAAGCCGTGGATTACCGGACGCCGGCACGGCACCCGGATGTGTCAACGGGTAAAAGGCGGGGCACCGATGCTGCTGATCCACATGTCACTTCCAGTGTCCCCGGCTCAGCGCACTGATGCCTGTCACCTGAGTCAGCACGTGACTCATTATCGGCCCCTCGATAGGTACCTCGATGGAAAGAGCAAATCAATCATCTCCAGGAATGACTTACAAAGGAATTTTGCTGCCGAGGACTCACGAAACCGCCGAGGATTGGGGCGTCAATCAACATCTTCACAGTACACGCAACGACACCAGCATGCTTTATCCGAAATAACTAAGATTGCTACCATGAGCTCAATATCAATTGGTCAATAATTCCCCACCATCAGCGTCTCTCGCGTCTCGAGTCTGTGCCGTGTGCTTTGGGGGTTCGACGACAACCTTTTGCGATTCGACGTAGCAGCACGTTGCAGACCGGACAAACCTCTTCTCTAACAGCTGCGAACATGGCAAAGAAGAAGACCAAGCAGCCCGTGTCCGACGACGTCGACGGTGGTGTCCCCAGCGGAAGCGCATCGCAATCGTCGTCCAATGGCTCTTCTAGGGGTCGAAATGCCTCGAGCGCTGTCGCGGACAATGTTCCGGCGCTGATTATCTGTCGCAACAAGTCCGTCTTGCCCCTCGTGTCGATGCCGTTGTCTCCCTGTGCTTGCGCTGCCTCCTGGCCAGCAGAAGCGCAATGCGACACGGACACCTGGCACTGCATTTCTCAAACCCGACACGGCTGACCACTGAGCGACAGGCATTGGCGCTTTATCTCCTCCTTTCATGGCCCATGGCTACAGATGCCCATTGAGATCCTCGAAACGATTGCGAACATCAACTACAATACCCCGCGCCCGCGCCCCATCGATCCCGCCGTCTTCTTCGACCTCCTCAAGATCCGCCGGCTCGTCGACGAAGCCACAACTCTTGCAGTGCGGGCAGCCAGTGATATCGCCTCACCGACGTTGGCAAATCTGCACGGAGGACTGAATTCACATACGGCGCTGGGGTATGGCGGGCATGGTGCAAAATTAAGCAGAGAACGCAAATTCCGAATGAGAGAGCAGGCCAGCCAGAAGCTGGCCCGCGCATATCGTTTGGACGAGATCGCCTGCAGCGTTGCTACGATGCAGGGAGCGTCAACGCTTGAGGAGATCGGGTCTCTGGTGTTGCAGCGCAGCAAAGAAGATCCTGATGCCAAATACGTCCACTTTTTCCATGAAAAGATTCCCTCAAGGCAACTGGCGGAGTGCACCAGTTTGCAACCCTTGGACGATATCATATCTGCTAGGCCGACCGAGGGCGAGGCACTACGAACCAGAGCTACCGTGAGGATATTCAAAGACGATTACGAGGGGGCTGCCCAAGACCTGAGTAGCGCGCTGCAAGTGCACCGCTTTCATCAGCCACTTCACCGACCACCATCATCGCAGGATCTACAGCTAGCCACTGGATCCAGAAGGCCCCCGGACGTGATTCTTACCGAGGAGCAGCAACCTAGCAGCTTGGAAATACAGTTGCTATTTCAGCGCGCTGGGGTATACTTGACAATGGCATGCCAGCATGTCGTTGACGGCCTCCCTGAGGCAGCTGCATCTCCGCGGACTGGTAGCTCGAAGGAAGCATCTCGTGATGCCAGTCCCGGAGGCGAAGGCCCGCCAGACCAGCCTCCAGAGCCTACTGCGGCAGAGAAAGAGGCAGGACGCCAACGTTTGGAGAAACGTAAAATCGTGAAGACATACGCCAAGAGAGCTTTGCGCGACTACTTGGCTTACCTGTCCAAATTCGAATACACCCCTGATTTGCCCCTGAGGGTGACAAGAGAGTTCACTGAGAAGGTTAACCTCGCAGCTCACGGCATCCGTCACCCTCGAGTCCCCGACTCAGGGCCTGCCCCTTCTTACAAAACTTACCCCTTGTCCGATTTGTTCGCTGCCGTACCCCCCGCAGATATCCCGCCGTATCCCTCTCAGGAACTTGTGCGTCAAGCTGGCCCTGCCCAGGCGTCCGAGCACGAGGCCATTACATATCATCCCTTGCTGACGGATGCTCTTCATTCGCTTCTTCTTTGCCATTGCCTTGTTCAAACATCCACGAAAGAGCTTCTACGCCACGCGCACATGGTAGCTCGACTAGCGCGTCTTGCTGACGGATACCCGATCTTTCAAGCGAGTCGGTCTCCAGCGAGAGCAGATTGGATTGAGGTACTTCGAAGAGCTGGCAACTGGATTTCAATGACTTCTTCGTGGGAACAACTTTGCGCCCCCGCACCGCTACCAATACTAGATGTTGCCATGGCTGAGCACCAGAACAAGATTCAGTCGTCTCCGAAGGCTGCTGCCCTTGCGGCTGCGTCAATCACTAAGGACAGCAACACGCTAGCTCACATTGGGGAAAATGAGGAACAGCGCAAGGAGCGGATTCGTCAGCAGGCCATCATGGACTCACTCGACGACGATAGAGTCGTCGACGAGGCAAGCCTTCGTGCTGCTATTACTGCTCGTCAGAAGCGAGCCCAGGAGGATCACGACTACTTGCAAGGCATCAAGAATGGGTTCAACGGGAAGCAAGACACGGGTCTCGCTGGCCAGCCTTCGCCTGCCTTGCGGAGGTGGAGTGTCGATGACGGACGAGAATATCCCATATTGACTGAGCGCGCCGCTGCAATTGCCCGCTGGGTGCTCGAGGCACCCACGGTGAGCCTGGGAACGGCCAAGCGGAAGAAGAAGTCGGGCCCGAAAAAGGACAAGGCCCAAAACGGGTCGGAAGCGGCGACGAACGGTATGGCTAACCTGGCCATCAGCGAAGCTGGTAGAGCTGTAGACGCGCAGGCATAGGGTAGTGTTCCCGAATCGCTCAAACCAGTTGGCTCCTGTTGTTTAGTCATGATATATATACATATGTGCACGTTGGAACAGGTATCAGCCAACCGCTTAAGCGTTGCCAGCCAAGCTCAGCGACAATCCCAAAAAATCATAATGTTTCACGGGCATCGTTCAATCTCAATTACCCGCCTGCATTACTGATCCAGTATCAACAGACGATGGTCATGTATTGGCATGCAGCGACTGATCTTTGACAACTTCAAGACTTGCGATTGAGGGTATAGCGCGACCGGCCTCCGCTTAGCCGTTGGACCGGTTCAACATTACTTGACAAATACAGCAAACACATTACTCATTATCCCAGCTCCTTCAAACAACTTCCTTCCTCTCGGTCTGCTGGACCTGAGCCCCGTCCTTCTCAGAACCAGAGGCGGTCCCGGGGTGTTGGTTGTCGACACCCATGATCTGGCCTCCCTTCTCGATGTGGTTGGCGCCGCCAAAGAGCACATCAACCTCCTCCAACGGGATCTGCTTCGTCTCGGGGATGAAGAAGTACACGAACACGCCCAGGACCATGTTCATTCCCATGAAGAAGAAGAGGCACTTGAGGCCCTCGTTGGCCAGGAAGGTGGGGAAGAACTGCTGGAAGATGGTGTTGGCGACGTTCTGCATCTGCGAGCACATGCCGACGGCCTGGGCGCGGACGTTGACGGAGAAGATCTCGGAGGTGTACATCCACGTGGTCGCGCCCCAGGACGGCTTGTAGAAGAAGGTGAAGAGGAACAGCAGGAAGACGATGGCGATGCCGACGGACTCGCTCTTGGTGCCGTCGGCGGCGGAGGGCGTCTTGAGGCCGACGATGGGGACGATGAGCATGCAGATGGCCATGCCGGCGGCGCCGACGATGAAGAGCCAGCGGCGGCCGAAGCGGTCGGCGGTCCACATGGCGTTGAGGGTGAAGAGGATGCCGCAGGTGGCGTTGAGGGCGTTGATGAGGTTGATGGTGTCGTCCGAGGGCCAGACCTTCTTGTAGATGGCGGTGGAGTAGCTGTTGAGGGTGCCCTGGCCGGTGAGCTGCTGGCCGACGTTGAGGACGAAGGCGAGGTAGAGGCGCTTGCGGATGGAGGCGTCCTTGAAGAGGGCGGAGTAGCTGCTGCTGATGGCCTCCTTCTCGTACTCGACGGCCTCGCGGATGGTGAGGAGCTCCTCCTCGACCTCTTGCTCGGTGTCGCGGATGCGCATGAGGGCGGCGCGGGCGGAGTCGATGTCGCCCTTCTTCTGGACGTACCAGCGGGGGCTCTCGGGCTGGAAGGGCAGGGCGATGATGATGATGATGGGGACGAGCATCTGGAAGATGACGACCATCTTCCAGTCCCACTCGCCGAGCGAGGCGCGGTGCTTGGAGCAGGCGTAGTTCTGTGTGATGTGTTAGCCAACTGGGATGTTGATGTAGTGTTTGGGGGAAATGCTTCTCACAATCCAGTAGGCGATGAAGCTGCCGACGCTGTAGAACATCTGCCAGCAGGCCATGATGTGGCCACGGATCTGAGAGGGCGCAACCTCGCCGATGTAGACGGGGCCGGCGGTGAGAGCCATGCCCTGTCCGAGACCGATGATGACACGACCGGCGATGAAGACTCCGAGCTTGTGGTGAGGGGTGAAGGTCTGCATGAGGGTTGCGATGATGGTGACGAAGCAGCCGATGGCCATGCCCCAGCGGCGACCGAGTTGATCGGCCTATGAAGAATCAACGTTAGATATCACAGTCTCCGGGCGTGTTGGGGGTCATGAACTTACCAAGGGACCACCGATGAAGAAACCGGCAACGATAGCACCGATGGTGTAGGCCGTGTTGACGAGACCGATCAACTGCGTATCCTTCTTGAGGTCGACGTCGACCCAGGCGAGCCAGTTCTTGGAGCCCTGGAGGGAGTTGTAGACGGAGGCATCGTACCCGTAGAGGACCATGCACATGGCCGCCATGAGGGAGATGTACCAGTTGTACACCCTCTTGCTGGTGACCGCCATCTTGAACGACCTGGATGCTGCGGTTCCGATAAAAAGATGGCTCTGCGACACGAGGGAAGCGTTTCGTCGTCTAGGTCTGGAGGCAGGCTGATGAAGACAGAAGAATGCGTGTTGGACAACTCCAGCAGAGAGGTGAAGAGAGAGATCAGGCCATGAGTCAAAAGAGAGATGCGAAGCTTGTCTTTAAAGGTTTGATAACAAAGGTGACCGACCCCAGTCTCATCCAAACCAAACTAAACTAAACCCTCGAATCCCCGCAGAAAAAAGGACCAAATTTCCCTTCCTCCCCCAATCCTCCCCCAAATTCCCCCGTCTTCGTTCCCCTCATTCCCCGGGTCTAGATAGCGAAGAAGGGGGAAGACGAAGGGGGAGGGGATAGGGTTCCCCATAATTTGCAAGTTCGAGTCGCCGGGGCTAGCGCTGGTTCCGGGGGAGTGGAGGTGGAGTTTCTGTTGCTCTCTCTCTGCGGCGGCGTTAAAGAGGCAGTCAGGGTAAAGGACCGAGTCCGGTGGTTGAAGCCATCGCCGGAGGGTATGATGTGCCTGGGGTCGTCGCTCATCGAAAGAGGTGTGCGTGAGCTGCACAGGGGGATATCTTCACACCCTCTCCATTCCGCCGCTCATCCGTCCAACAGCACAGCGAGCCGAGAACATGGGAGCAGGTCCGGCGGGACAAGACGAACCAAGAGATGCGGCGACATCCATCAGCAGAGAGAGAGGAAAAAGGGCAGACCCGGAAATCTCTTGGCGCCGCGCCGCGTGTGGCACATCCGTCCGTCTTCCCCAGAACGAGGGCCCCCAACATCAGCCATCCCTGTCGAGGGCCGTTCTGGGGTCGAACTGGCGGAGAAACCCCATGCCCAAAACTTCCACCAATGGCAATTTCACCTTTTGTTCTGGCGGCGGCGGCGGCGGGCCCTCTCCAATCGCGTTTAAGTGGGCGGGCGAGTGGAAACGGACAGGACGATTCGAACCACCGCGTGGTGGTGGCTGGTCTCGGTCTGGGCAAACGCTTGTTTTTGGGCGTTTTCTTTCCGCCCAGCCCGCTCATCCATCCACACGCCTGCGTGTGTTTCGACGTGCAAGAGAACGTTTGTGGATTTGCAGTAGAGTCAGCGGGTGCGCTATCAGATTCGAGAAGGAGACGAGGTCGAAGGTCATGCGGCCCACGCCTTATCGCGGTCCGTTGACGCGTGCGCTTCTGCTGGCAAGGCGGATGATGGCCCTTGGCGACGCAGGTCGTCCACCCACCACCTCGCCGACTCCAGATGCCGATTCCCGTCTTTCTGCACGCCTCTCCGTGAGCCCAGTCAGTCATCTTCATCTCTCCTCTCATTGTGTCTCCATCATGATGCTTTCTCTGAATGTTCGTCCTCTGCTGGTAAACAGAGCTTCACGACAATCTCCATCTCCTGCGTTGACAAGCTGCGAGTCATACATTAAAGGCGCGAGAGGCTCGGGCGTGCATGTGATGACAACGACTAGTTGGTCAGAGAGAGAGTAGCAACAGCTGAGAAAGAATGGGTCTCCCGGCGCCAAAATACGCGAGGTTATCTCTATGCCCCATTTATTCCCGCTCTCTCATGCAACGACACGAAGAAACGGGGCCCGGTCAGCCAGCCCTCGTCTTTCACATGATGGTGCGCCCTCCAGCTGCGTCTGGTCTGACTAGAAAAGCATCGGCACCGCGCCGTTCATTCCTGCTTCTTTTCCTTGCAAAACTCTCTGCCTCAATCAATCCGAGCATTAAACATCTTCCAAGAGAGAGATGAGTTGACATAAGCTTTCTTTGCGGCTCATTGCCCAGAGAATGGATAGGCCATTGGTGGACAGCCAAGACCATTTCATCCGCGGATCCCGTGTTGGCACTGCAAGCCACCCGATGCTGCCAAGGCGTTCGATATCGCTCACTGCTGGCCGTTGTGACTGTAAACACCTGCCCGAAAGGCGAACTTGATATCATTTCCTTCCCAAGCGCCTTGGCGAGATTCGTCGTGGTGTGCCCGCGCATCCCAACAGTCCGGTCACAAGTCTAACACATCAGCCTCAGGCTGACTTCTTCTCTCATCAATCTCATCCCGCCGGCACAATTTCTTCAGTCCCCCGGGAAGCATGTCAGATTTCTCCGCCAGGAAGCCCAGCTTGACTCCAGCTTTTAGTTGCCGTCTTCTCCGCGTCCACCAAAATCTCTCAAATCTCCCCCGCGAAAACCCCAACAATCTGGAGCAAGCTAAGAGAAATCGAACCATCTGACATCCCAAAAATCGCGGAGTCCCCAACTTATTTCGAGGAGAATCCGGCGCCGCCTGCTGTCTGCGAGGCAAGCTAAGAATAAGCTACACCCCTGGAGCTGGCACGGGGGCCGGGCCCGCCCTCGGACGCGGGCTGTGATTGATGGAAGAAATCAGAGCATTCCCCAGATGGGCGGCGTGCTCACTCGTAGGCAAAAGCGGAATTAAGAGTGCAGGCAGGATGCGTCCACGCCTCGACACTAACATCAGGTCGCCGGTGACGGTGAAGGAACGACGGCTTGTGGGGAAATAGAGGCGAGAACGAAGGAGGCAAACATGTCCCAAACCGTCCATAGGCAGGCAATGACAGAACAGCAAATAGCCTGTCAAAGGGTCTGGCGGGCTGACGCAGCCTGCAGTCCACTACCTTCTTGCATGCTGCACATGTACAATGTACGCACATACCGATACATACGCACAGCAGCAGAAATGGGTCGGCCTTGGCCATTCTGCGATCGTTGGGCATTTGATTATGTGAATTCATTAGCTTACCGAGGGGATGGCACCATTGCACTCGGCCTCGGGCTTCGGCAGGCATGGGGTCGCGCTAGTTTCGGGTGATGGGAGGGTGTCGGTTGCTACGTTTATGGGCACGATGTTCTGGAAAGGGTCAGGTGTCTTGGATATCTGATAGAACGGGTCAGAGATGAATCGGAGAGTCTTGACGCGTCTGTGATTGACTGCTTTACTTTTTTCGTCGTCCTTTTCGCTGTCCTTGTCGTCGTCGTCGTCTTTATCCTCGTGCTTGTCTTCGTCGTCGCCCTTGTTTTCGATTCCTTCCTATCATCGTCTCTTATCCACAAGCTCGGTTGTCCCTCTAAAGCTTTGGTCCGGCATTCAAGGAAGTCCAGTTCTTCCACTGGGGCTTTGACGTTGTCCTTCAAAGAGTCACGATGTTGTCTTGTTTGAGAGCACTAGATGGTCTGGAAACTGACTGTCGGGTCCAGTAATTTTCAACACGAAAGCCACGAGACGGATTCCATTTTAAGCCAACCCAGAAACCCTATCGAGCAGATATCAAAATCTCATGATCATCAGCAGAAACCGAGAGACTTTGTTTCCACGAGCATTGTCGCAAGCCACGAACCCTTCCCGAATTCGAGCTTTACAAGGCGTCCAGGAGCTCGGCGTGTGTTATGTTTCTGGCAAAAGACACATAGTACAGCTCGACGACCCTCTCATTCGTATGACAAGGGACTTAATGACAACTTTGACAGATCAATCCGCAGAGAAATACAAGCCGACGCCTTGCCTACCCCGAGATGACAGACCTCACACCCAGATGACAACTCCGCAGACGTTAAATCGATTGGAATAATTCGAAGAATGCAAATATGCTCTGCGTTTTCTCGATACACTACCCTTGTCAAATATGACCCCTTTGCCAGGAAGTGTCGTTCTTGGGCGGCTATCACGAGATGCCATGCCAATTTCTGTTCAACCATAAGCTGCAAGTGCTGGCTCGATTACGAGTGGTCATCGAGACGGTTCTCGTCAAATATCTGGAGAAGCTGCAGGAGCATCCAGACCGAAAGTTGGCGGCGTTGTTGCGTCTGTACCGTGATCATGCCGTTTCATGCACAGCCCACAATCTACGCAGTCTCTACGACCACGTCCAGACGACTTTATTGATTAAGTATCAATATGATGTCTCATATAATGTGTCCTTGCTTCAAAACGAGTTGGTTTTTCAACATGCATCGTACCAGTCGTCCATGGGGAAGGAAAACTATGCGATACAACATGCAAGCAAGTATTCGCCAGCTTCCAGCAGAGATGTCGATATTCCCACCCTGCGCAAAGTTGCGAGCCTCAATGCGAAGCTTTTGGCCTAGCGTACAGATTCCATTCCGATGGTGTTGGACGAGTCTTGATAAGCCGCAATGTGGGGGAAGACGGAGATCCATGAAAGATACAATAAGATATGCTACTAGCAGAATATGCACATGTTTCGACGTGAGCAATCTGGGCTTTTTACTATTGGTGTCTTTGCAGTTTCTGGTTGCTCACTGTGAGACAAAGGATTCAACTTCTGGTTCCGCTAGATCTTGAGACAAATCAGTGTTGAAGACATCACAAACACTACGCTCATTCGCACCTTTCGCGTGTTTGGGTGGGAAGGCTAACTGCAGGAAGGCACGACCTTGGCGACAAACGCTGCTTCATTCTACAACAAACGCTTTCACCTGCTGCCTACTTTGGGGAAGAGGTCTCAAAAAATTCTTCGCCTTTTCTTTCAGCCTTCCACACCAACAAACAAACTAATTCTTCTCGGTCTTCCACACTCTACCAGCATCGCAAATTCATCATCCAAAATATCGGTAGGCGATTACTCCCATCTATCTTGACCTCATTTATTGACTTTTTGGTCAGGAATTAGACCTCTGCAGTTACCACAACGCTCGTCTGCTGCCACCGCCCACACGTGGCTTCCACCTCATGTCGAACAAACGGCCACCGGTGGCCTCCTTCGCCCCCGAGGAGGGATCAGAGCCCATGACTCTGAATCGAACACTCTCTGAGAAGATCGGCTCGGTATCTGTCCCGTACGAGGTCTTCTTGCGCATCGTCGAAGCGCTTATCGAGGACATTTTTGACTGGGAAGAGCCAGTCGATTGGGATCTCAGATACCAATATGATTCCTCGTCCAGGATTTTCGTTCAGGAAAATCGTGAACGATATGGATTCTTCCCGACGAACTCACAGATGATTCGCTGGTCACGCTCCCGACTCCCTTCTCAGATCAACTACGAAACCCGCCAGATGGTCGATAGAGTGCTTCCCCGGGCCGCCATGTTAAACCAAGACGGAAGCGTCGCTTGGATCGATGCATGGCTGCGCCCGGACATTGATGCTTTCATTCCTTTCTACACCAAGTCTCCTGGTCTCGACTTCAACCAGATGTGCTTCAATGCAGCTTTGACTTACCCATCCTCTCGGAACGCATTTGTTCATCACATCGAATACATCCGTCTCCAAGGTTACGACTGGATCACCGACGTCAATGACGACGATCTCGCCGCGCTCGCTACCCTTCCGAATCTTCAGGTGATCCAGATGATGGAGGTTCGCCGCATAATCTACCTTTACATGAAACAACCTGTTCACTTCGGATTCCGCCAGATCAACTATGAAGCCTTTCCTTCCTTAGGAGAATTGGTGGTGATTTGGGGTGAGAGTTTCATGAAGAAGTTTTCGCCCATGCAGGACAAAGGCGTCAGGCTCTACGGTGCAATGCAGGATTGGCCCAAGATAGAGATTCGTGGCACCAAGGAGGGAATTCTGGGCCGGATTCTGGGAGCTAATTGCACTTGCTGCAAGCCAGACGAGGGTGTGAGGGAGGTGAAGGTTGAAACCACGGACGAGTGGGAATGGGATTGGAACCCCTCCAGGTACCTTACGAGACGTCAGAGATATATCATGGACTATGTTGGTCTGCTGTTGGACGCAGAGCAGTAAGGAATAAGGGACTGATTTGGCAAGAATGGATCAGATTCAAGGTTAGCGAGTACGGATTCTGGCTGCCAGGACCAAAGGAATCATAGAATGTCGGGCAATGAATTCATGAATGAGTGTTCGTCATGCCTTTGGTGCCGCTTTTCTCAAGTATAACCTCATGATTCGTACTCAGTAAGCTCGCTTCTCTACCGGAGATAATTGTGCAACGAGTTCGAGATCTGAGTCCAACGAGCTTTGCAAGACTAGGCAGCGCAAGAGGACACCACGGGGGTTTGAACATGTGTTAGGATTCACTGTTCAGACCTGCTGACGTTGAAGCCTTCATAGTGTCTGACTACCTACTGCGAGGAAAAGGCTCGACTTCTTCTAGTGCTGCAAAGGCTTGGGACAAAACATTGCTCGTGGACATTGGACGGACATTCGCATGGACTTCACCCAGATTCCACCTCCATCCAATCCAAGCTGAGAGGTAGGCCAACTGCGGGAAGGAGCGACCACTTCCACACATGCGACTTCCTATTTTTTCTTTTGTTTTCACCTTCGACCTGGACTTTGCCCGCTTTGGGCGAGCGTCTTCTGAAATTTGTTTTTGATCTTTCACAACTCAACACATTCGACTTTTTCGCAACTCGTGGCAGGTAGCTGGCGAAAACGTATCCGACAGCCAGTAAATTATGTACGTCACATTTCTATTCCCAATTCGAATTCGATCTTGATCTGACATTAAAATAGCCCTCGCTGCTACACGACTGGGCAGCTGCCAACACAACCTCCTCACCGAAATTCACATAACTGGGAACAAGATGCCAGACATCCAAATCTTCTCCTTCCAACCTAAGGAGGCACCGCAGCCCATGCCGCTGCGGGAAACCCCGCCTGGCAAAGTTGGATCAGCTTCCCTTCCGCGCGAACTCTTCCTGAAGATCGTCGATTCGCTCGTTGACGACGTTACGGCCTGGGAGACACCCGCAAGCTGGAAGCTTGAGTACTGCTACGACGCCCCGTCCAAGCTGGTCGTCAAGGAGGAACGAATGACAATCGCCGAAACCTCGCACTCGCAGATGAAGCGCTTCCAGCGATCCCGCCTTCCTTCACAAATCAATCGCGAGACCCGCCTCATGGTCAACAAGAAGCTCGCCCGAATCACCATGTTGACCGAGAATTGGACCATCTCACCCATTGACGCATGGGTCCGCCCCGACCTCGACCGCTTCGTTGCGCTCTGCGCCGCCGGCAAAGATCTCCGCAACCAGGAGCTGTACTTCAGACACGCAATGATTCTCCCGACCCCTGCTTGCGACAGCATGATCAAGTCCATCCAGCGACTCCACCTTCCGCAACTTGAGTACATCTCTCGCAAGAACGCCGCCGCAATCGCTTCCTTCGCTGCCCTCCCTCATCTCAGAGAGATCAGCACCATCGTCGGAAACTGGGCACCTGATTTAAACGAACGTATCGCGCACCACGGAATGAGGAAGATCGATCGAAAGACATACCCCACCTTGCACAACTGGGCAGAACGTCACGAGTCAACTTTCGCGTCCACCTTTCGGCCCCTCAAGAACAAGGGTGTCAAGCTCTTAGTCGACATGATGATAAGTGACAACCCGTTCCTTGAGATTTGCGACACCGAGAAGGGAATTCGCATCAAGAATCTCATTGCCAACTGCAACTGCTGCAGCCATGACAAGTTTTATTGAAAATGGGACTTGGGAAGTGCAGAACAACGCTTCGGACAATTTGACATGGGGTAATCACCGGAGGACAGAGATACAGCATTGGAGTTTTGAAGATATAAGACTGGCCTAACCTCAGACTAAGATACGCGAAGAAGAATTACTCGAGAGAAATTGAAAAATGAGCTGGCAAGGGCGAATCACAAGGGGAGGGAGTTGGGTAGAACTAGTAGTCAACCAAGCTTTTGACAATGACAAAGCCGTGCAATGGATAAAGACTCCTCCACCTTCTTCTCCACTTTCATTGACTACACAAATGAAAATGGACTCAATGTACTGTCAACCCGGTAACCGAGGCCCTCAAGATTTGGATCCAAGTTCCAACGAGCTTCGCCGCAGCCCAACATAAGCGCCGGCGGATTCGATGGCTGCAGCAGCACGGTGTATGTAACGCTGAGAATGACCAATAAAGCACTGTAATGAAACATAAAGCCACGCAGGCGCCCACCGGGGCTGAAGTTCTTTTTGCCATCCCCATTTACCAGACCACCGTCCACCAGCCTGAGCTGAACCGCAGAATACTGTCCAGTCCCTCGCAACGTCTTCCATCAAGACAATTGTCCTATCAAGACAATTGTCCTCGATGAGCCAAATCTACACGCAATCGTTTCCAAAGTTCGGGCACCTTCCGACAGAGATTCAAGACTTGATATGGGGCATGGCCCTCGAAAGCCCTCCGGCCGCTCACTTCGCTGATCTTGATGATGTGTCTTTTTTAAAACCCACGCGAGCTATCGAAGCACCAAAAGGAAGAAGAAAGTGGCACAAATTGGAAGTTCTGATCAAGTTTGGTCCACGCCCGACGTCTATAACTTCGGGTCATTCATATACCGCACCTCATGCCTTGTTGCTTCAGACGTGCCGAGCTTCGCGCAGGGTTGCGTTTCGACTTGCCAACGTCTGGGGTCCAGGAAGAGCTCTACAACTATACGCAGGTGAAAGGAGCACCTTGCACGACGTCGTCAGCCTCATCGAGTTGAAAAGATGCTCGGCAGGAGGGGACGGAGGCGAAAGACAAAATAATCGAGGACACGGCGAGTACCCCTTACCTGAGACAATAAATGTGCCTTCTCTTTGGGTCGACGGCACACAAGATCTTGTTATTATACCTAAAGGCTGGGAACGCGAGGCCGAACGACTGCAATGTTGTATCTACGATTTCACATGGACCATACCGATTCAAAGGGCGCGCTATATTGGTTTAGAGTGGCCATATAGCGGAAGACGTGTCTTTGAATCTCTGGCATGCTTCCTGTTTTCACGATTTCGATGCGATGTCCTCTACGTAATCCTTGGCTCAGACGAGCTTGCAGGACCTTCAGACGTCCATAAAATGGCACCGGAGCTTGCTCGGGAGCAAAGACAAATGTTGGAGCGACGATTCAAGAGACCAGGAGTTCCAACGGAAGATCTAGCAGCACATATTCCCGAGAGATTCTGGCGAGGGAAACGGGAATTCTACGTGGTCAGTTGGGAGGACATCGAACGAAGAATGGTGGACTCGCCCTGTTGGGATTTGATTGACATTACAGCCCAGATACTCGAAATCAGAAAGGCGGAGGATGATGTCTGTAAAGGTTGCCAAGATAGAGGTTGCGATCTCAAACCAGATATGTTTCCAATTGCCTGGAGGATTATGTCGTGGCGCGATAAGGAGGAGTAAGATCAACATGTTGTCTAAACTCACTTGAACCTAATGTTTGCCGATTCCGTTCTCATACTATGAAGTAGAATACAAAGAACCAGTCCGGAATCATGAACTTCTACCTGACATGAGCTTGTTAACGTTCAGCTTTCTCAGACCCGTTTCTAGTACGTAATTGTCACGCACTTCCCTTTCCATGCCAGAACGTTTCCTTGGATAAGCTCTTCGAACATCCAGTTCGCCAAATCTAACCTGCTAATGGTATACCCTACGGTAACTCCTGGCTCATGCGCGGCACCTTCAACCAGGCCAGCATCCTCAACGGTCCAGCCCACCCTGAGGCTCTCAAGTCCTTTCTTTGGGCCATCAGTCAGCAGAGGCGGTCTCACCATAACGTACCCTCCGAGCGGCGACCCTGGCTCTGTTGCGCATTTCTTAATAGCCTTCTCCATAGCCGTCGTGTCAGCTTGGGGCACGCGCAAGAGCCAGATGTACAGTGGAATCATGACCAAAGGCTGGTCGCGTTTGATGCCTTGCCCAGTCGAAGAAATGGGAACAAAAACAGGGCTATTTTTGATCGCCCCCGCATTCTTGAGCTGACGCAATGCCTCGATAACCGCATCGGCCGAGTCTCCCGTGATCGTGAGGTCTTGCATTGAGACGGGTTTGAATGGGTTTAGTTGAAACTTGGGCAAAGCCGTGATGCCACTGAAGATGATTTCGGGATCATGACGGAGAAGCTCAGCACATGCATGTACAGAGCGGGAAGATGGACCCTCCACGATGGCGAGGTTTGTGTTGATGACGGACTCGGGCACGTCGTATGAGATGAGCATTTTTCTCAACTTGGTGGCATCTCGAACGACTAATTGAAAACCGTAAGTGTATGTAAACATTTTGCAAGGTTTTCCGAACTACTTACGTGCTGCAGCTTTGTGGCCAGCCATCAGTGTCCAGGCAAGCAGATGACTGAGAGTTGCCCCAGTCGCCCCAACGAAAGCTGCTTTGACTGGCATGGTGTTTGCCCTGCGTCAAAATCTTAGACTGAATTATGTACTGCTAGGTGGTAAGAGAGAATGTCGAAGTTAATGATTAAAATGCCAACTTGGCCACCAAGCAGAAGCTGGCCCAATCACGGGGGACAGGTTTGAAGATATATGCGCCCTCTACACGATACCTCTCTCCCATCGGAATCCGCGGCCCCGAAGATGAGTAAAGCAGGTGGAAAATAGTCTGAATAAGTTCCGGATCATCATGTTCAATGCGGTGTTGGCCCGATGAACTCCGCTGCTGAGACTTACAAGTCCGTCCAAACTCCACCCGGACTACTCCGGTATGCTCGTGGGCGGACGCCAAGACGGCGACATGGAGTAACTTGGCCCCAACGGAGACCGACTTAATCAAAGGCATCGGGACAGTAAAGTCCAACAATTGTCGATATTCAATCAAAATCCCAGGTCCTGTGACGAAGAGATAGAGACAGCCCTTTTATTTCTATGAAGCTTCTTTCGATTCAAGACCAAGCAATTATCGGCTTTACAACATCGCCCTTCTTCATCGCCTCTACGGCTTGTTCAAAGTTGGGATGCTCAAAAACCTTCACTAGCTTCTCGACTGGGAATTTGCCGTCTCTCCACCATTGAACCATCTGAGGAACGTAGTCTCTAGTCCTTACGTGCCCTTGCACAGCTCCGAAGTACTGTTTGCCGCTGACCATGAAAGTCTGCATGTGGATTGAGATGTTCGACTCCGGCATTCCAGTGCCGACCTGGATGATCTTGCCCATATACCTGGTGCCATCAATTTGCGCGGCCAACAGTGGCGGGTACGCACTCGTGTCGATGCTAATTGTTGAGCCAAGTCCCTCCGCTGCCTCCTTGATCTTTTCCGTCACCTGCTTCATATCGAGGCCGGTAGTGTTGATGACATGAGTGGCGCCGAGAGATTTCGCAAGCTCGAGTCGAGACTCGAGCCGATCGATCCCGATGATGGCTTTGCAACCTTGATTCTTTGCCGCAATCACAGCCGCCAGTCCGACACCTCCCATACCGGCGATAGTGACGCAGTCCTCTGGTCCAGCCTTGGCGACATTGATAACAGTCCCGCTACCGGTTTGCAGTCCACATCCCAGTGGTGCCAGGATTCTGAGGTCGTTTCGACTGAGCCCAAGACCGGCGACGTTGACAACTGACTTGTCACTGACAACGGTATGATGCGCAAGACTTGACTGGCCGAAGAAACGTCCTCCAATTCCGTCGGAGAAGACAGGTTCACCAATGAAGTTGATCTCGAAGAAGTTGGTGCAGTGTGAAGGCGGTCCAGTCTTGCAGACGTGGCACGAGCCGCAGTATGAGAATGATAAAAGAACTGGGTCGCCGGGCTTGACGTGAGTAACCGACTTGCCAACATTGACAACATATCCTGAGCCTAGAAAATGTCAACGTCGGCCTAGGTACTGCAAAGAGTGGAGATGATTTTCTCACCCTCATGCCCAAGGACTCTTGGGTAGTACACTCCCGGAACACCGGCATCTGCTGGAGTGTTGCCACAGTGAAGGTCAGTGTGGCAGATACCAGAAGCAACTATCTCGACGAGAACTTCATCATCACGCAGATCTCGGAGTGTCACTGGCTCAATAGCCCATTTGCCCTCAGAAATTGGGCCTCTAGCCACGATGGCTTCGGATTTGAATGACATCTTGGGCAGAATTTGTAGGCTTCCCGATAATATTGAAGAGAAGTCGACCTTTTCAAAGAATTAGAATCGACATTGGAGGGAAGGAAGGATGAGGGGAAGTCGGTGGTGAGGGGTTGCATAGCGCATTCCGGCGATAAGCGGAATTGGCCGGTGATACTCCAACTGCGTGCTGCAACTTAGGTAAACCCCTCATCAAATGAAAATGATAAGGAACTTGATCCAGCTACCTGCCCTTTGAGAACGATTCGGTTAGAATCACACAAGCCATTTGCCACTTGAGGGACTGGGGCATTACTCAAGAATGTCGCTCTATTCTAGAAGATAGCCAGCGTTTCGGAAGCAGTGCCAAGGCATGAGCTATCGAGGTAGCGATATTGCCAACAGTGGTAACACAGCACAGTGCTTTCAAAACTGAGTATTCCGAAGTTATGTGCTTTACGTATTCACGCCTCAATGACATTGTACATAAGTTCGGCTGCCCTACAGCATATCTTTTCGATCATATGCCCTTTCCTGAGCCCGCTCGAAATCTGACATCAATGGATACTCAACTGTGTCCCATACGTCCCTTAGCCGTCTGTCAATACCATCAGGACCCATTGGCTTCCGCTCCCAAAGATCGCGATAGATGCCCGTGTCATGAAGAGGCTCTTCCGGATCTTCTCGACGAGTGTTCTCCCCGTCAACTAAGATCGGTAGTAGACTTGGGCTAGGACTATCGGACGTCAGGAATCCCAGTAATTTTTGTTTCTGGTTCTCGCTGAGTTGGACGATGCGATAAGTGACATCTTCTCTATCCGGATGAAACCAGACGGAATCCTTTTGCACGTCTGGCGCGGAGTCAGGGGAGCGCCGATCGAATAAGACGACGCCACCAAAGATACGAGATTCTGCCCAGTATCCCGCCATGTCTGCGACACCGTTGGGGTACTGGTCATGATCGGTGTACCAAGGGTGCCGGAAGAGTGTCGCATAAGCTCCCTCGGGATTGAAGCGCCAGAATAAGTCTTCTTTGGGAGGCACCCATGCAGCAAGACCGTCGTCTTTGTGCAAGCTCTCATCCATTTTGAATATTTCAACCGCGATTTGATGAACTGCAATAGCAGTCATTTCAATCAACCGGACCTTAAACGCGCGAGACCCTGGTGATGCTCTGCGATATTCACTCACGACCTGAAAGACTTTCCATGAGAGATTTCCATACAAAAATGACGATTGAAATACCTCTGAACTCAAGCGGAGTGATTTCGGGTTGAAAGTTTCTCGAATCTCGCGAGTCTTCTCCAAAACGCCTGGACACAGCTGTCGATGCTCCGTGTGTATTGGGTGCTTGTTTGGTAGCTTGCCACCGGCTGTATCAAAAGCAACTTCGGCCAAAGGCAAATCATCAATCAATTGAGCAAAGGTAATTTCGGCGATGTCTGTCGCAAGTACGTTGCACAGTGCTCTCACGAAGGCGTCTTCATGTTCGCCCTCGCCCAAGCCGATATCGATGGAGACAGTCCCCGAGTCTCCGCCGGCATCAGAGGGTGTCGCTGGGTCATTTGCAATCGTTGTCATAGCTGTCAGTTTTCGTGCGACGAGATCTGTAGGATAACGAAGTGATCAAGAATCAAGGTCGTGAGGTCGAAAGCAACGAGCGCTCGAGGGTGACAGATTCAACTTTGATTCTGCCAGAATTAGCATCAGCACCTTCTAATCACGGGGAACTTGCCGCCTGTTGGTGCATTGCACAGCCCTCTGTTGGCGCTAAACCGGTCACAACACCTTGGTCCAATTGGCTGAACAAAGGTACCTGGAGTGGGGGCCACCCTTACCGTCGAGACCTCCAACAAGTCCCCTTCCCCGGTACAAACGCACGATACCCCAGGGCGGCGCCTAATTACTTGTCCGTACAAGTATTAACAAGGTAATCCAGCGCTGCAGCCTATGAGATGTCGTTGTTACCAAATAGCGATCCAGTAATTGCGACACTCATTTTGTGGGAACTCCGACCAATGTTGCCCTGTAAGCGCTTGCGCCCTGGTCCTCAGATCTGGAAAGAGACCTCATTCTCCAGCAAAGCTGCCAATCGTAACGGGACTCTCAATCATTTACCTCAGTCTGTTGTTCGGGCCATGATTATGGCCTCAGCTCAGTCAGTCATCCATTTGCATTCTTTCCTTGCTTGTTGACATCTGCTTTCACGGCCTGAACAGCGCTTCAGGACCCATCGAAGAATATGGCTTTGCCATTTTCGCAGGCGCCGGGCTTCGAATTATGGTCTCGGATGAAACTAGACTAACGGGAATCGCGACACTTCCCGTCCAGCCTGTAAGTAAGGGTGCGGCGAGCTGTTGGAGAGGTTTCCTGTGTACGGCCTTCATGCAATTCGCGCGCGACAAAGTGTCGTTCTTCTTTCGCCCAGGATATCGTTTTAGCCATAGTTAAATATTGTGGTCTTCCCTTTGTCTTCACCGCATGTAAAGCATCAAATTCTGAACGTTCTTTTAGCCAATACTGCAAACCGCATTGTGTTTCCATTGCATACCAAAGGTACCTATGACATGTTACCACTCAATTGGCAGATCATATGATGCTGATCGAAAGTAATCCTTCCAGTCTTTTCGATCTACCCTCTTATCCAGTTCAAGATGCAGAGAGTTGGCAACCTCGTCATCCACGTCGAAGAAAATGGCGCAGCAGTCATCCTCCCGCCTAACTCGTCGAGATACGGGTGCGTCGAAGCAATCGTGCACATGGCACTTTGCGTTCTGGAGACCCACAAGGAAGGCAAAGTCTTACCAAACTTGGTAATGAGCTCGTGGCACAGCGGAACGCTCAGTCGCAACCGGGAAGACATCTGTTCAGAGGCCAGCCAGCTTCAATGCATCTTACCGTCGACGAATTCTTGCGAAAGATACGATCAGACTTCCCGGAAATCGTTTTGAAACTTTTCATAGGAGAGGCGGCCGCCATCAAGAAAACCTGGGGTGACAATTTGCAGAGCTACGAGCCTAAAGCTGCGGCCGACATGTGGCTGGACATGTCTATCATAGAGAACATGTTGTTTGCACGACAACAGCCAAGACAGACAGCAGGCAACAGCTACGCTCTTTTCAAGTTCCAGATGGTTGTCTCAGTTGCCCATGAGATCTGCCACTTCTTCACTGGCTTTTTGACTGGAACACAAAGGCCATTCACCCCACCTGATTTGGCCGTGGAAGGTTTTGGAAATCCCACGTATGGTGAGTCTGGTCGTTGGTGGGAAGTACAGATGTTTGGAGGTCTTCTGGAGTTTTATGAGAACAGAAATGACCCCTTGGGGAGGAGGCAAGCTGGTATTCCGTACATGTTGGATGACGGTACGAAGTCGTCTCCGGCGAGACAGCTCTCTGTGAACTATGTTCTCGACTTCATCGATGGCGGTGAGTTTCTTTCAAACCTAGCCACTCTCTTGCGAACCACTCTGACTTGAAAAGACTTCTCGTTTCCGGCCCGGCCAGCGTCAAACATGAGGCCTACTACAAAAGGAGCGCTCCAAACAGCCAGCAGGGAGGTGACAGAGTTACGGCCCAGAAGAAGGAATCTCGTCCCGCCTCCCTCTTCGCCCCCTCGAGCAAACACGCCATCTGGCTCTAGTTCTAGACCACCCTCTTCTTGGCGGAGACTGCCATTCCTGTCCTCGCGGTAGTCTTCAGGACGACCAAAACAAGAAGATCATCATGTTAGCCGATGTCCACAAGAAGGATTTGCCTTAGATAGGTCGTTGGGTATTTTGGTTTATTGGTTCTGATTTGTTAATGGTTTCAATTGATATGTACAAATGAGGCACTCTGCATATTCTGAACGCAATGGGAGTTGTATTCGTGAAGATTCCAGTAGTCATCTGTCAAGGGACATGGGCCTTCTATTCTTCTTTCGTCTTTCGGAGGCTCCTTCGTTGTTGTCGTCGGTATTATTACCTATATATCACCACACGCATGCGAATATATCTGGCCCTAGTCTGGCGTATCCCGAAGACTTGAGGGCTTTGTTCAAGCCCATTGTGCAGAATGTGTAAAGCAAATATTGTTTACTCTCGACTTTTCAGCGTCGAAGGGACTGATGGCTATACGAGCTCGGGAAACAACACTCAAACAGAAGATTGGCTTATCTCAATAGCGCATAGGGAAAAGAGTTAGAGAAAGTCATTTGGTCAATTCGGATTCGGGTTCGGTCATCATCAATATGTCGTCGAAAGAAGGTTAAAAGACAAGTGGATCAGATCAATTGAGATGTTTGGAATGAGTACGGGGCTATACTCAAACATGGAAAGTATTCATAGGCCTTGCTGCACATCGTGACTTCACCTTTGAACAACTGCATGTTTCATCGCAGGGAACGCCATGCCTTTTGCTGACTGATTCTGGGAATTCCACGGACAATGTGCTGCAAGGCACCGGTAAGTTTTCGAAAGACGCGTACGCGCGTTGGTAGGGTCAGATCCTTAGCATTTCATTTGCTCGACCTCTGATTGCTTCATTTTACGGCCGAATTGTGATGTCGGCCGATGTCCCCGCAAACTCACTTGAGTTGGAGTTGCCCTCGGCTAGGCCTGCGAGCAATTTTGTCATGATGGGCACCATCCGATAGGCTCTGTGGCCACACCTCAGAACATAAGCTTCGCCCGAAGGTCGAGGACGCCACACCCGAAAGTAGTAGTTCATTCGGGAGGAGAAAACTCACTGGCGCGAGCAGGCTTTCCATCACCCCTCTTTTGGTGCACATCAAAAGCTTGTTAAGAGCAGCAATCGACTCGGATTGCCAATTGTTTTCCCCCAGGCTAGCAGCTGTCTCATGAAGCTCATGCTTGTTGTTGTTCGAGAACGGCTATCAAAATCTCCATCGATGGTTGCTTGCGGCACATCGTAGTAATGGAGATGTTCGGTGCTATCAGTCGAGGCCAATTGAACAGGGAGCAAGGCACATAAGGTAGCTCCGAATTGTTCTGAACTTCCTTTTCGCAGAGTGACAACGGTCTAGCCGGACGCTTAAGCGAAGTTCAATTTGCCTTGAAATGACATCACCTGCTGGGCACACTGTCTCTGCTTTGGCATGAAGTGACTTAGCTGCGCTAGACTTCACTCGTTGATTCACGATGCTTGGCGGTTAACGGCACTTAGCGGCGATCATTTACCAGGGTCTCCTTAGGCCTCGCCCTGAATCTCAAGTTAGTGGTCTCAACCCCTCTCAGTGCCCCTAGCTCCCGTACTCTTCCGTCCACCAAAAGGGCCGCGATTTTAGGCAGGATCACGCCGTCGAGTGTCTAGCTCCGTAATGTGGCCACGAAAGATCCTTCGAGCATTTCGGTCCCGGAAGTTCACCGGTCTACGAAGGAATAAAGCCTAGACCGGGTTGTCTGCCTGGATGTTGTTTTCAGGGGTAATACGTATAAAGCCCAAGCAGAGATTCGACGAAGCAATCGCAGTTGTGTTTACAGATCAACGAGTTACTCAAACCATCCCTACCATTCATTTATAAAGTTCGCACCAAAATGGCCTCGCTCGCTAAGTTCGTCACCGCCAGTGCCGCCCTCTGCCTGGCCGCGGCCCCTCTCACCGCCGCAGCACCGAACGTGACTGCCGAGCTGATCCCCGGCGACTGCTCCGTATACCCGGAGTACGATGCCTCAACCGGCCAGGCGGGGCCGTGGTCGATGCAAGCGACGGATACAGGCGAATACATTACCGGCCATGGACTGACAGCCATTTACTCCCGCGGCTCAGCTGGCATCCGATGGGGATTCGTAAGTTCCATGCCGGAAGCCGCCACCCCCGATTGGGGAACCTTAGTACACTTGCTTACTCCAACAATGATCAGATGGCCGTGCTTGACAAAGCTGGCGTGGCGCAGAACCCCCTTCGATGTGTCAACGGAGAAGGCATTCAAGGCTACGTGCCTACAGGTGTCTCGGGTTACACATGGCAGAACCTCGTTGCAGCCGATATTCCGTACGACGCTCTCTTGATGTACGAGGTTAACGGCACCGAAATCCAGCCGTACTCGCATTACATCAATGGAACGAAGCAGAGCGGAATCTTCTTAGGCTCCGAAGGCTACACGACGTGGGGCTTCAAGAAGGATACTGACACAGAGCAAGGGACTTACTGGGAGGCAAGACTTCTGGGAGCTGACAGCGAGGACCCTTCCACTGGCAAACCGCTTTTTGATGGGGAGACTACTGGCTTCCTGAAAGTTTACGGCTCGTAAATATGACAGTGCATGACGACGTCGGCGTCTGTCAACCGGTGGGAGATGACACCTAGGCGCCCGCAAAGTTATCCGACGTATTGCTGTCCCGACTGGGAGGGCGAACACACCAATAAATCATTTTCAGAGTCTTAGCAATCTGAAAGCAGTAGTTTCCTACTCGTTCAGTCTGCTCCAATTCCATTATTTGCAGGTTTCGTCCAATCATTGGCCGCTTTGACCGCCTTTGAAAAGTAGCATACCGTGAATAGAAGCGTTCGAAACATTACAGGTTGCTTCCCGCATGAGAAAATGGGAAGCCTTGGCAGCGGGAGAAATAATCAAAGCGAGGCTCCGAGAAGGGTTTCCCAACGAAGCTTTAGCGACGGCTTCTTGCTTGACATCGCGTGAGTTCACGATGGACAAGCAACTCTGCAACGTAGCGTCTTACCTGCGCTTGCTTTCTATGGCGCACCGTCCAGTTCTTATTTCTAAACGACGTCGTGCTTTACAATCTGTTTGGCTACTTCTGACGATCAGACTCGCGAATACGAAACCGATAGGGTCGTACATCGTTTACCACGCGAGCTTCAATCGGTCACCCTTGGCTCGGACTTTAAGTCAAGCCCGTCCACCTCCCCAACCTGGCTCCCCGCGTTTTGCCTCCCCCCAGCACACTTGCCCGCAGCGCTAATGCAACTTCTTCAGATCACTTTGTCATTCGTCCCGTTGATCGGCACAGGGGTGAAGAGCCACCCTCCCTCCGGTAGTTGAGGCGGTTCCACCCGGTTTCGCATGCCGCGGGCAAGTTTCGTAACCCACCGGCTATTCGCTCTACTCGTACTCGTTCGAGGCTCTCCTGTCGGTAATGTGGCAGACTAACAGTGCCTTTCGTCATGGTGGGGGACCTCCATGCGAACAAGGAGGTCAGGGGAGCTGGTGCGGTGTTTGCTGTCATGCTGGAGCCAACCAACTGGAGCGCGGATCTGGAGGGTGTGGAAGCACTGCGAGACTATATTACATCCTTAGGTCCCAACTTCTTCTGAGTTTGTTCGTCTGTTCAAGCACACCATCGCAGACGTACCGATCGCCCAGAATGTCGATGTCGATGCTTCCCAACATGAACGCCACCACTATGCCAGTGGTGGACACCACCGTCTTCGAAGAGTTGGCCAACCGCTGGCCGATCGCAGCGACCGCTGTGTTTGCCTGCGTCGTTGCTGTTTTGCTGCAGAGCGTTCTCAAGAGCGACCCGTGGGCGGACCTTCCCATGATCGGGACAGAATTCGGAGGAGCCGAGAGTCGAAGAAAGAAGTTCCTCAGCGGATCAGCAAAGGATATGTATCTTGACGGATACAAGAGGGTAGGCGACGGCATCGCGAGACAGCTTGCGATCATCACGACTAACACCGGGGTCTTGTAGTTCAAAGACAGAGCTTGGAGGATTACTACGACCAGAGGTAAGTCTTGGTAGTAGTTGGACTCTTTCAACGAGTTGCTAACATGACTTCAGCATCGCCGAATATTGTCGTCGCTCCCAAGTTCATGAACGAGTTGAAGAGACTGCCCGACGATGTTCTCAGCTTCAACAAGGCTATTGAAGAGGTTGGTCTCCGTAAAGAAACAGAGTCGAGGGTTAGAAGTGACCTAGCTAATATTATGTTGCAGTTTATGCACGCCAAGTACACCAAGGTCGAGACCGACATTGATTTGCTGCCTCACACCGTCAAGAGCAGTTTGACCCCAGCACTTGGTAAATGGTCCACATGTTGCATGGCTGCAGCTATTGTTGACTAACAGCGACCTAGTACGACTAAACCCCATCATCGCAGACGAAGTTATCGAAGCCCTGCGTATCGAGCTCCCACATTCTGGAGAATGGACCGAGGTCAAGATCATGGACAAGCTCCTTCGTATTGTCGCAATGGCATCTGGACGCGTCTTCATTGGCCCCGAGCTTTGTCGCGAGGAGGAATACCTTGACGCCGCGATCAACTATACCGTTGACTTGATGAAGGCCATTCGTAAGATCTCTGATCTCCGGCCCTGGACACGCCGATTTGTGGCTCCAGGACTGCCAGAGGTGAAGAAGGTGCACGAGCGCATCGATGCCGCAGACAAGTTCTTGCGACCTGTCGTGACTGCCAGACGCGAAGCAGCCAAGGATCCCGACTACCAGAAGCCCTACGACATGTTGCAGTGGATCATGGACGCGCAGACCAAGTTCGGCGAGAAGGACGACAAGGAGCTTGCTAGGTATCAGCTCGGCATCAGCTTCGCTGCTATCCACACTACAACGGTTACCTCTACCAACGCGTAAGCTGACCCCCTTCTTCTAACATTGATCAATAAATGACGAGGACTCTAGGTTCTACACATTGGCAGCCATGCCTGAGTTGATCCCTACTTTGCGAGAGGACGTCCAGCAGGCATTGGCCGAGAGCAATGGTGTCTTCACCAGCCTTGCTATGCAAAACATGAAGAAGTTGGACAGCTTCTTGAAGGAGACCATGAGATTTTATGCGCTTGGTTCAAGTGAGTCGACGTTCTTCCCATTGAAAGAAACTAGGAGGCTGATAGTTCCTTCCTTAGCATCGTTCACACGTAAGGTTTTGAAGACCTTCACCCTGTCAAACGGACAAGTCATCCCTAAAGGCTCCATCATCGAGATCCCCATGATCGGCATCAACAATGATGACGAGTACTTCCCCGACCACGACAAATTCGATGCCCTTCGCTTTTACAAGCTGCGCCAGGCAAAGACAGAGCAGGAGACGGGCACAAAGCAGGCGGAGGTTGTTGCCCTCAACCAGTTCGTCAGCGTCGGTGGCCCTACGAGCCTGACGTTCGGATTCGGTCGTCACGCATGCCCTGGTCGGTTCTTCGCCGTCAATGAGATTAAGATGATTATGGCGACAACCTTGGCGAATTATGATATCAAGATGGTTGAAGGTAGCACCGAGAGATACAAGAACTTGGACTTCGGGTCTGTGGTAAGTTACTCACCAAGGCTGCTCTCCCTTAGAGTTAGAACCGCAACGCTGACTTCCTCAAACAGACTCAACCTGATCCCGACAAGAAGATCTTGATGCGCAAGCTGTGAAGAGAGTACTGCGTGACGGGACGCACTTTTGAAGTCGAGTAATGGGAGGGTTATAGGATTATACACATTGTAATGGCATTGATGGCGAGACTGATCCAAGGCGAGGATAGTTCCGAATGCCTAGACAGTCTCAGCTTTAGAGCGAACCCCCGCAAAGACTGAGTTCTATGGAAAGTTCTTGAGATTTTTAGCGAAAGCAACTGTATCCACGCGATTGAAGAAGTGCGACGACAAACGGCGTTCGGGAGTTGGCTCTGCCCCCCCCCCCCCCCCACTCCGATCCCACCTGCCTCTTGGTGTTGTCGTCGATAGGTTTGAACTGCTCAAAGCTCACGTGATTATTACGCTCTTGCAAACCTGGTATTCACCCCGAGAATGCCCCAAAGTCCAAGAAGAACGCTGGTACCGAATCTGAAAACTCCCTGGCCTGGAACACCTTCGCAGTAGCACACGTAACCATCGACAGCTCCCATCCCCACGAATAGGCTCATCATAGTATCAAGCGCCTCGAAATTTCCCCGGAGAAAGAAGGTCCACATAGCAACTCCCCACAGCGACATTCGCATGCCATAGATCTTCCAAGCCGACTGCGCCTCAATAGATGCCTGAATGTGCGCCGGAAGGCCGAACTCACGAATGGCGCCAGACGGGTTCCAGAGAGGCATCGCACCCCCGATCGTGAAGGTGGTGGCAAGAAGCAGTGGCAGGGCGTGAACGGGATGGAAACGAGGCATTTTTGATCGATTGAAAGCTATCGATGACCCGCAATAATGGCGTTCACACAATGAAGGTAGCTGATATTCCTGGAGGCTGATGCAGTTGGTCGAGAGTTTGTGTCTTCGAAGTGCAAGTAAGCTGCCCTGATAAGCTCTAGGTGCGAAGAAAGCGGGGGCACAGTGCAGGTCTCGCTTCAGACCACCCAAAGTCCCCAATAAAGGATGTTCTAATGCTATGCCCAGTGACGGCTGAGCTTGGGTGACTCTAAATGGACAAGTGCTGACGTTGGAACCACTGGGCTATGAACGGGGCTCGCGAAAGCAGTGCCAAGATCGCCAGATAATGCAATTGCTTACATACTAACTACCGCTGTCTGATAAAGTTGATGCGAACACGACTTATTTGATTAAGTGATTCGGACAACAACCGGTGTTGGCGCGGGCCCGAAAAGGGAGCAATCGGACGTAGTGGACCCAACCACGGACCGGGGCGTCCGGATGCCCTGCCGACCGAAGGAAGATGCTACGTTAGATTTCAAGCAATCAGCACCCCAGATACATAACACAGCTAGGGTATTTCTGCATGAGTTTCAAACTGCTTATGTATTGTTCCTACCACAAGACCTTGGACCATTACGACGAGGGCGACAAGTAGTGGATCTGCTCTTTAGCTGAGAGCCTGAGCTGCACAGATTGAAGCACAAGCAGGTATTCTTGGTGTTCTCCTTTCAACCTCAAGCTTTCATTTATGTTATCATACAGTCTATTTTATACAAGCCGGCCATGTCATGCGCTGTTGTTTCATGTGCTCGAGCACCCAGCCATATACCCATTTCCCATCCAGCCCGAATTACAAATGAAAATGCCCGTCGACAGAAAATCACGACGCTCATCGCCCACCGGTCGGCTCATATGCCCATTCCCTCCAGTCTTCGGTCGACACCCGAAGCTCTACTGCTGAGTCTGCGAGAAGCTCACCCCGTTTTTGCTGAGTCTCTTCACCTCCGAAAGTCTCCCTGGGTACCGTGATACGGCTCGTAGGGGCTCGGTGGTCCTTGATGCTGTTGCTGTTGGTACTTGGGTTGCTGATATTGGCCGCTCTCCATCAAGTAACCCTCGGACAGAACTTCTGAGCTTGACACCTGCTTGAGGCTGGTGTCACGGTTGTTGATGACGCGACTGGGATGGAACCAGTTGAAGAGCACTGATGTAAGACCCATGAGAAGCGCGTCAAAGATGTAGATGTACATCTCCTTTGACTGGAGCTCTCCCTCGCTTCCTTGGACGTATTCCGCGACACGGAACAGCGATCGAACCATGATCATAAAACTGGTTCCGTAGAGAACCCAAAGGAGGCCTTTCCAAGGGGTATCAAGAGAGTATGTCTTCGGGGTCGGGTTGCGAGAAAGGCGCATATGGAAGATGAGGGTGACGACCATGAAGAAGCCGAAGAAGAGGATCTGAATACAGAGACCGCCGACAATGATGTTCTCTCCCAATTTAACGGAATCTGTGTCTTTAGCCGTTGCAAGCATACCGCCACCTATTTGAAGAAGTCAGTTTCCTAACCAGAAACGATATGTAGGGGCCTTGAACTAACCTCCGCTTTGGGCGAAGAAAGATAAGAGATCACCGAGAACGAAAACCTTGGTCAGCCACTTCGGCCTGATCAAAGAGTAGTTTCCGGCATCCAAAAGGTTGATCAAACGGCCCAAGATCATGTAAATCGATGCAGCGAACAGGGCTGGTCCTAGCAGGAGAAGAATGGACTGGATGATGTAGGGATTCTTGGTGTAGTCCGGTGCTTCTTGTGCAGACATAGCGCGACCGACATAACCAATGGCCTCAACTGGTCCGCATTAGCCAAGCTCCAACTCACTGGATATTTGACATGGCAACTTACAGAGACATCCTATCACGAAGGGGATGAAATACCATGTTCGGGCTCGCACCAGCTGCCAAATGTGCAAGAGCCCCGAAAGACCGAATACTCCAATGAAAATAACAGCTGCTACCATGGACGGCTCATAGTGGTAGAAAACGAAGCCCTTCGACGCACCCTCTGTTGTTGTACTATTGTCGGCCATGGTGTCTGTCTCGGTGGGTAAGCCTGAGTCGTTGATGTAGTATTTGCGCGGTATGATTCTGTGAAAGACTGGACTCTGTGAGAAAGAAGGAGAGCAAATTGCCAACGATGGAAAAATGAGAGAGAGGAAAAAATAATGTATTTGTCGATGTTGAAGCTGATGATCTATCCACAAGTCCTTTTCATCTAGAAACTCGGGCGATATAAGTAAATACCCTCCCCCATTTTGTCCGACCCCTTTGTTGCACTGCCCGTGTTGACATGCGCGTTGTTTGTGATGCAAAACAGCCATCGATACGGCCGCCCCTTGCATACGGCAGAATTATGGACAACACTTGCAGATTTTGAGATTATACGCGGAGACCCGGTAGGGCTGAGCCTCTTCCTCCGAGCCTTCTGCTCCGGCGCCATCTTCGGAGCAAATCCGCACGGGGGCCATTGAATGCGCATCGGATACGCGTATGAAAAGACTGCCGCTTGGGGGACAAGGGTGTGCTGCTCGGGGACGCCTTACGCTACACCAAAAATGGTCTCAGGGGCAGCCTTTAGCGGTACAAAGCGAAAAGCCCGAGTTGAGGTAGGCGAATGACAAGGTGCTCCATCCGCGTATTCGTCACCGGAGCGAGCATCCCTGACAACCACGCGTTTCTCCGTGGCTCTAGAGGCCAATCATTGCCAAAGGGACCCCTAAGAATGGATCCAGTTGCTTAAAAATTAAGCATTGACGGGTTGCTGCGCATTTGATAGCGTACCGTAACAACACGCGCATCGGGGCTGTCAAACCTCATTGAGACGTAAAGGCAGCCGAATCCGCGGATGTTTGCGCGATCGCTATAAAGAGCCATCGAAAAAAGTGCGATAACACGACGATAAGAATTTTACCATGGTCTTTTTCTCTCGGCGCGGCATCCATGACGCGGCTTTACCATCTAGGAATGCCGGTGATCTAGCCTTTCTGAGGGTCCTGCTCCCCGTCGGAGGTTCATCCCACGCTGAGTCAGAGGCGCGTCGGTAGGCATTAGAGTCAATTTGAGGCTGAGGCCCCATGGAGGGGAACCAGTTCTAGAATGATGTAACAAGGTGGGATGTTAAATATTAATTAAGATCTTCGAGTCGCCTTCTTCGCGGTAGTTCTCGGCCCTCCAGCAGCCGACTTTCGCCTTTTAGAATTAACCTTTTCACTTACTGTTGTGGATGTTCTTGTTCTACTCTTCGCCTCACCTCTGCTCGGTCTTGCATTCTCTCCTTCCAGCACGAACGGCTGTACGACCAGAGACTTGCGACCAAAAGAATATTTCCGGACACCGACTAGCCGTCTACGGCTCGTTATTTTGTTACCCAAGTTTTCGAGAATCAAACCAGACTTGCCAGTATGTCGAAAAGAAATACCGTCCAGATGCTTGAGGACGACACTGTCCCTCAAGACTACCTTCCCTCCTACGAGACGGCGATGGCCGAGAGCACGAGGCAGCAGAGAAACAGCGTGAACTGTCAGTACCTATCTTCTACCAATACCCCGAGTCTGACAAACTAACGAAAAACAGCTGATGGCAGAATCGACGTGAACCTCGACTCCCGCCTCGCGACAACCCTCGCTCGCTTCGTCCCCGACTTCAAAGACCCCTCCATCGCCGCGGCAACAGCAGCCCAAGGCCCCCCTCCAGAATACGTCGAGGCAGCAGCGCGCTTCGCAGACAAGAAGAACTTCCCAGTCAAGCTCAACATCGTCATCCAGGTCGTCGGCAGTCGTGGAGACGTCCAGCCCTTCATCGCGCTTGGCAATGAGCTCCAGACGTACGGCCACCGCGTGCGCTTAGCGACCCACGATGTCTTCGATTCGTTTGTACGAAAATCGAACCTAGAGTTCTACCCCATCGGCGGCGACCCCTCCGAGTTGATGGCCTACATGGTCAAGAATCCCGGCCTGATCCCCAGCTTGAAGAGCCTGAAGGGCGGCGACATCCAGAAGAAACGCAAGATGGTCAAGGAAATGTTGGAAGGATGCTGGAAGTCGTGTATCGAACCAGACACCCTCACGGGAAGGCCGTTTGTCGCGGATGCCATCATCGCGAACCCACCTAGCTTTGCGCATGTCCATTGCGCGCAAGCATTGAGTGTGCCACTGCACTTGATGTTCACCATGCCATGGAGCAGCACGAGAGCTTTCCCCCATCCGCTGGCGAACCTGAAGTTTGGAGAGAAGGGCGTCGTTGACCAGAGCACGGCCAACTTTGTGTCCTACAGCATCGTCGAGTGGTTGACGTGGCAAGGGTAAGGAGTCAACTCCGGAGACTCTCCAAGAAGCCCGCTGACAACTTTTGGCAGTTTGGGAGACGTAATCAATGAATGGCGGAAGACGATAGATCTCGAAGAAGTACCATTCTCCGAAGGCCCAGTTCTTGCGGAGGTACAGAAGATCCCCTTTACCTATTGCTGGTCTCCAGCTTTAGTGCCGAAGCCAGAAGACTGGCCTGCTTACATTGGTACGTCTACGCTCGTTACGAATGAAAAATGATGCTAATAGAAGGTCTCAGATGTATGTGGTTTCTTCTTCCGCGAGCCACCTCAGTACACGCCTCCTCCCGACTTGGCGGAGTTCCTTGCAAAGGGTCCAACTCCGATCTACATTGGCTTCGGGAGCATCGTGATTGATCACCCCGAAGAGATGACAAAAACATTGGTTGAGGCGGTTCGTGCTACGGGCGTTCGTGCCATCATATCCAAGGGGTGGAGTAATCTCGGAGGCATCGAGGCCGACGACGTGTTCTTCCTGGGTGACTGCCCACACGAGTGGCTCTTTGCGAACGTAGCGGCAGTCTTTCATCACGGCGGTGCAGGAACAACAGCGTGTGGTCTTCTGAACGGTAGACCAACCACGATCGTGCCGTTCTTTGGAGAGTAGGTTACCCATCCAACTCGGAGAATGTCGCTAACGGACTTTAGTCAACCCTTTTGGGGAGACATGGTTGCCATCGCGGGCGCCGGACCGAAGCCAATACCACACAAGCAGCTGAATGTCGAGAATCTCTCCGAAGCCATCCGGTTTTGTCTCACGCCAGAAGCACTGGCAGCCGCTGGTGAGCTCGCGGCGAAGATGAGGACAGAAAATGGCGTAGCGACAGCGGTGAAGTCTTTCCACGCCAATCTGCCTCTCGAAGACCTTCCTTGCGACATCTTTCCGGATCAACCTGCGACGTGGGAGTACAAAAGGGGCAAGAAACACGTCAAGCTGTCCAAAAAAGCGGCCGGTATTCTCCTCGACCACCTCAAAATTGGCCAAAAGAATATGTCACCGTAAGGCTGCCCAACATTTGACCTCCACCGACACAATACTGACATCTGTAATTGCATAGACACGACACGAGAAGCATCATTATCGAGAACCGGCGATGGGACCCAGTCACCGGTGCCAGTTCAGCACTTCTTGGAGCTGCGACAGGAATGTTCAAGGGCGCAACGGACATCGTCGTCAAGCCTGTGCAAACGTACCACGAACGATCGAAGATGAAGTCGGCCGAGATGGAAGATACCATTAGCAGCGGCAGCCAGACACCGACGCGATCCGCATCCGCCAGCCTCGCTCCCCCGTCATCTGAGGCGCTTGAACGCCCACGAAGCGCGGGCCCCGGCAGTAGCAGTGGTAGCACCAGTGCTAGCGGAAGCACCACCGGCGCCGTTTTGAAAGCCTCGGCTTCGGGTGTCGGTGGCTTCTTCAAGGCTTATGGCAAATTCTACCTCGACGTGCCGCTTGCCGTGACGGACGGTCTGCGAAACGTGCCCAAGCTGTATGGAGAAAAGGTCGAGCAGCGGAAGCCGATCAACGACTGGAAGTCTGGTACCATCGAGGGAGGAAAGCACTTCGTTGTCGGTCTGAGTGAGGGTTTTGCCGACCTGTTTGTGCAGCCGTATAAGGGAGGACGTGATGGAGGCGCAGCTGGGGCGGCCTTGGGAGTCGGCAAGGGTGTTCTGAATATGGCCACCAAGACGGCATCAGGTATGTGTCAACTGGAAGCCAAAAGCTTTGCAAGTGAGACTGATATTGTGATACAGCAACATTGGGAATCGTGGCGTATCCTGGACAGGGTATCTACAAGAGCATACGAACAGCCGTTCATTCGAAGACGCGCCGCAACATTGCTGCAGCTAGACAAGCAGAAGGCGAGTACTTGGCTAGCAACAGTAACTTCGAGGTGCAGGCAGTATTACACAGATTTGATACGTTGTGCCGTATTAGCGAAGAGAAGAAAGAGAAGAAGGGACGCAAGAGTGACGAGCCGGAGCTGATGGAGAGACAGACATACTAGATACCCATAGAAGCATAGACGTAGTTTTAGAAAAGCAAGAGCCAACTCATTTATACCACCTATTCCACATCAAAAAGATGTCGGATGGCTTTTTCAACTTTTTCAAGTGTCGTACTTCGCACAACATAACTAACGCTATCTAACACAAGGCTTAAACGTGGTGCTAGATAGAGAGAGGCGATTGCTCCTCTGGAGAGTAACTGACCTTTACACGTGGTTAAGCCTTATCCTAAGATGAACGAATATGAAAAAGACGACATCTCCGACGTAAGGGTCATACGAGAATAGGGAAACGAGGTTGTGGTAAAGACAGGGGACAGAGCATGGCATGGAGGTACTGAAGTTAGATTTCGAGTCCTCTGGACATCTTATCAGCGCCGATGGTTTAGTGGTAAAATTCTCCGTTGCCATCCTGCAGCGTCGGGGAGCCGGGGGTTCGATTCCCCCTCGGCGCAACCTTTTGCTCTCATCGAGTAAATTCTTTTTGCATATCGCACTTTGAAGCATGGGAGAAACAATGTCGCCCAATTGGGCGCACGCGGTTGAGGTTCGCTAATTACACATACAGCACTTTGAAGACCCAGCCAAACTGGTCCGCATTAATGAGCGCTTCATCAACCTTCACCTTCAACACCTTCTCATCGCCAGAACCCGAAGTCTCCCACTCCAATTTGTCGCCGCCTTCGACGTCAAGCAGACTCACAATGTCGCCCTCGACAATGGGGATCGGCGCGCTGATGGAGACCCACCCGTCGACGCCCACGGGCTTCTCCAAGAAAATGGTGTAAAACGCGTCCTCCGTCTGCGTGAACCTCACGTCCGGACCTCCGACAATCTCGCTCTGCACGAACCAGTACGTCGTGTTGAAAATCGCCTCCTCGTGCGCCTTGATCCACTTCCCTGCCTCACGCAGGTTGTCCATCTCAGCCTGCACGATGGTGCCGTCCGCCCTGGGCCCGATGTCAAGCAGGAAGTTGCCGTTCTTCGACACCATGTCGACGAGCGAGTACACGATCGTGGTCGCGTTCATGTACTCCTCGGGCTTTGTCGCGCGGTTGTATCCGTACGAGTAGGGGTCCATGCCCCGGTTTGACTCCCACTTGCGTCGTTGCGCGGACGCGAAGGTCTGGTACTCGGGCGTGTCGAAATCCGCCGCCTCGGCGATGCCGCACCGCGAGTTGATGGCGACCTGGCGGCCTTCCGCGCGCGCCTTGTTCCACCACTCCGCTGCGAAGCCTGCTGTGCCGTTGGCCGCGCCGCAGTCGCACCACATGATGTCGGTGCCGTAGTCGTACGCGAGCGTCTCCATCTGAGGGACCATCAAGTCGGCGATGAAGTCCCCGACAGGTACGTGTCCGGTGTACGGCTCCTTCTCTCCGGTATATGGGTTCGACGCGAGGACACCGGGCCAGGAGACTGCTGAAGGAGTCGGGAACTGCACGAAGCCATATGGACCAAAGTCCGGGTTGAACCACTCCGGGAGCGAGAAGTATGTGCCTCGCTTGAGAGAAGGCTGGTATGTCTCCGCTGCATCGAAAAGCTCTTTCAGGAGGTCACGCTTCGGGCCGTAGTGAATGGACGAGCGGTTGGAGGTCTCGCCTGCGTCGAAGATGGCAAAGCCGTCGTGGTGCTTGGTCGTGATGACAAAGTACTTGGCTCCCGCGTCGGCAAAGAGGTCGACCCATTCCTTGGCATCGAAGTTGGACGCGTTGAACTCGGGGAACGTGTCGTCGTAGGCCCAGTCAGGGCCGTACGTGTCGAGGCGGTATCCATAGAAGTTGGACCGGTCGCCTTCGGGATGGTGCGTCGAATACCACCAGAACCACTCGGCATAGCTCTCGTACGGAGTCGAGTTGCCCCAGCCGGTGACCGAGTACGGGCCCCAGTGGATGAAGATACCATACTTGGCCTCGTCGAACCAATCTGGACTCTCGTGTTTGGACAGGCTCTCGAGGTCAGAGGTCCACTCAGTCAAGCCGATCTCGACACCCTCAACCGAGGTGGTCTTCTTTGACATGCCATCGCTGATCTCGACAGCGGCTTTGGTCGGCCCGCTGGAAGAGCCCTCCACACCGACGACGACCACCTTCTGGTCGCCAGGGCAGAGACGCTTGAGATGTCCAGCGCTCACGGTGGTGAATCCGTCGCCAGAGACAGTGACGTTCAGGCCAGCGCCAGCTACGCACTTCGATCCGGCATTGTTCACGGTGACCTCGACCACCTGTGTCCCGTTTCCGGTCCACTTCTGCGTCGGTCGCACCGATTGTACGCTTACATCGGAGGACTGCCACAGCGAGATGGCAAAGACGTGCAGTCTTCCCTCGGTCGCGTTATTCTTTGTCGGCAGCGTGATGGAGCTCAGCGTTTTCCCAGCCGGCAAAGCTGTGGTCCGCTCGAAGATGTGCGACGAGTTGAAATCGGAGCCATTGGAGGTGAAGCGACTCGGGAAGATGATCTCGCCCCGGTTGATTGTCAGGAAGCTGAACCAGTTGAGCGTACGGAGTTCAAACTCGGACGTGGTGTTGTCGGAGTAGGTGAACGACACGTTCCCGCTGACGGTGGCGCCCTCAACATCTCCCGCGACGAGGAAAGAGGCGGAGAAGTAGGATGCCGCCGGGACGGTGATCTTCTGACCGGTGCAGATCAGATTGTCCGGGTCGGTTGGCCCGGTGTATCCAGGGAAGCCGTACTCGACGCCCGTATCGGTGGAGGTGAAGCCGGGCCCGACGGAGGGCTCAGGGAAGGATTGGTTCAAGGCATCGAAGGACGCTTCGCCGGGCTTGGTACCGAAGGCCTTGTTGTTGAATAACGATGAGAGGTCGAGAGGAACAGATTTCTTTTCACTGTCAACAATCCGCGTCACGAAAAAAGGGCGGTGGCTACTTACTCCTTCGGGGGACGATGAATTGGTCGCCCCGATCGCGAAACCGGCCAACGCCAGCAGCGGGAAAACATTGAAGCCACCAAAACTCTTCATTTTGGAGTATCGCGACGTCCTCCAGCAGCTTCAATTGCTCTACGGAAGCAGCGCAACACCGCGCGCCTCATTGCCGAGGAAGCTCGCCATTCTTAATGACCGGCCCCAGCCTCTCGCAGAGCTCCAGCGGGGAAATCTGGTGATCATCCCTCATCAGGTGCATCACCCCTCAGTTCATCCAACATATCGCTAATGTCGACTCAGAATGGAACGGTAACATTCCCCAACACGATGTCCACTATTCATGTCACCATCAACAGCCGGTGCATTTGGGGTTGCTAGGCAGTGAGGGGCACCACTGATAAGACTGGTCAGAGTTGGAGATAGCCCAGCTGGCCGGGACGTCATCGCGACAGGGGTCAGCAGCTTTTCGTATCAATTGAACACTTCTGCAAGGTACGTTATCGCTCTGGTGGTAGAATACCGGTCGCCGAAGCCGGCGTGTCTTCTTCACCTTTTAGCAGTTCTCTCTTTCATTTCCACCTCAATTGCTATCCATCCGTGAGGCGGGCGGGCATCATTGACCGATCTCACGACACCACCATCGCCAGCGAAATGCAGGGCTGTCTGCAGAGTTTTCGAAACAGCTGCGGCCTCTTCTCAAGAACGAACTTTACTGTGAGACTCATTGCGTGCTCGAGCTTGGCAGAAACACTGCACCAAGGCACAGACTGCTCACGTCAACAAGACGTGCATGGGCTTAGACTTTTCCCCCTCTCATGCTTTGATTCTGTCATTCGCAAAAGCCTTTGCAACCTGTCATTCTTGCCATGTTGGAGTCAAATGGCCCACAGACATCACGAGGGCGTCGTTCTCTTCGGGGGATCGAAAGTTCGATTGGCTACCGAGTTGGTGCGGCCAAAGCCAGTAATTGACTGATATTTCAATATTGGCATCCAATCTCCCGAGAATGGCGGAATGGAAATCGCACCACATCTCATTGATCGAATGCCTTCCGCGGCTCCCACTTGACAACACTCCTCTCAATTACCTGATTGGGTAAATCATGAAGTCCGGCAGACTTTCTCCTGATTCTTCACGCACACCTGCTTTATCCGGAAACGTCATGGAGATAACAACCGTGCCAGCTGTCAGGAGGCCAGCGTCTGGCCTGGCCATGGCGATAGTTTGCGCTGTTTCGGTCTCGCTCCTGCAGGGGCTGCAAGTGCGGCTCTCTGACTCTGCGCTGATCACTGGTGCGAAAAAAAGCCCAGACTACGAGCCACCGGATGGGATCGACCGTAGTACGGACGATGATTTGGAAGGGCGACTACTGTCTCGACTAGTGGCAAAGGCGGCCCGAGACTCGACTCGGTCTCTCTTTCCGGGTGTTTGGCGATGTTGACCCTGCAGACGTCACAATTGTCATGTCGGCTTGTCAGCCGAGGATCCACGCGATAGAATTGATTTGCCGACGCGCTTGTGGAAAGACCCTTATTGTTTCTTCGGAAGATGCCTAGTGGCAGGTTGAAGATGTCTAATGCCACGGAATGAAGAGCCGTCGCTGGAAACCGAGAGACGTGTTTTCAAGGGCTGTGAATATTTTCCGCGGGTTAATTCAAGTCGGAGTCGACGTGTTGGGGCCAGGATATCCCCTCACATGTGGATGTCAGAATGTGGATGTCAGAATTGAAGATTCACAGAAGAAGGATCATACGATAATATCACTTCCAGGATCACCCAGAGGCAGGAAAATGATGGTGTTCACCAAGAACGCTTTCTATTGAGTATTTTTGAATCCCCTCAAGGCCGTCTTAGCTTGCCCTGCACGCGCCCGACCGAGGGTACTATGATGAAAAGAATACACATCGAATATTATTCGCCATGCTACCCAAAAGTTTACCCCTTAGAAATGCACACCACCGAGGCGTCGTCTCACCGGAAACGACCGTCTCCTCTTCGTCATCTCCTTTTGCTGCTCCGCCGACTTCTGCTGCGCGACGAAGTTGGTCATCATCTCCCACGTCGCCATGGTGCCGCCGTTCTTCTTGTTCTCCGCCATCGCCATCAGGTCCGCCATCTTCATCTCGAAACCCATGGCGCCGGTGGGGGGAACTTGAGGAGCTTCTTGTCTGCGAGCGGGACGGCCGGGCTGAGGGGGAGGCGAGCCGGTGATGGCACCGCCGCCGGGGCCGGGCTGGTTGCCGGTGATGGCGCCGCCGGTGGGAGGGCCGTTAGGCTTGGGCTGCGCGGCGGGGGGAGCGGCAGGAGCGGGAGCAGCGGCAGGGGGCTGGGCAGCCGGAACAGCAGGAGCAGGGGCGGGCACAGCGGGAGCAGGAGGCGTCGCAGGTCTGGGTTCTTGCTGGGGAGCGGGCTGTTGGGGAGCAGGCGCAGGCTGCTGAGGACGAGGCTCGGCCGCGGGCGCCGCTGGTTGAGGCTGCTGTTGCGGCTCCGCGGCAGGCTGCTGGGGCTGAGCCGGGGTGGCCGGTCGAGGAGTCTGCGGCTGGGATGTCTGGGGTTGACCGAGGCCGCCCTGCTGGGGTTGGCCACCGAGACCACCCTGTTGAGGTTGACCAGTGATACCACCTCCCTGCTGAGGAGCCGGCTGAGGCTGGGTTCCAACGGGAGTTCCACCGACCATCATGGTGAGAATGAACTCACCGTCGATCTGGCCAACGGGCACGGCGATGCGAGCATTCTCTCGGTCGAGGAGGACTTGGGCGTTGATGGGGCTAAAGGTCTGAGCGAGCAGAAGCTGGGTCGCAGCGGGGATGGCCGGGCCAGCCGCGTTAGGGTTTCCGTTGTTACCCTGAGGCGGGTTGTTTCCGTTGCCCTGGGGAGGTTGGTTCGTGTTTCCTCCGTTGTTACCTCCCTGGTTACCTTGATTAGGGTTTCCAGCAGCGGGAGAAGCACCAATAGCAGTTCCAGCGCCATTAGGACTGGCGCCGTTTTGGGGCTGTCCGTTAGGCTCGTTGGAAGCAGTGCCGTTGTTGGCTTCATTGTTCTGACGCTTCTGGCGAGGAGCTTGAAGTCCACCGGTAGCGCCGCCAGGGTTCTGGAGAACGGGACGCTGGGCAATGCCAAGCGTGATGGATGACTGGGGCGAAGCGCCCGCGCGCATGGCCATAGCCATGAGTCGGTCAACATTGACTGTTTCAGGTCCCGGTAAGTCGGAATTCCATGAAGAGAAATAAGCTTTTTGGCTCATTTGGGCTAGACTTACGCGGCATCTGGACGACGGCGGTCATCTGGTTGAGGCTAGGAACGACACCAGCCAAATTGCTGGTGACGAGATAGCGGTAGTTGTCTGTGGTGTTCGCGTTAGCTTCCGCGACTTGACGTGTAAGTCTCGTCCAGATGGCTTACTGATGGACATGATGCCGTTGGTGACCATGTCGGTGCTGATACCGTTGACGACATCGGTCTTGATGCTCATCGGCTGGCTCGCCCGGATGGACATGCGGAACCCGTCGGTGAACTCTGCTTCTTGGATGCCAGATCCAGCGATAGTGACGGGCTGGCCGAACGGGGTGAGGGACGTGCCGAGCTCGGAAGTCTGACGGCCAACGGCGACGTACTCGCCGTCGATCGTGTTCATCTTGACCATGCGGACGGTCGCATCGGTGATGTTGACACTCTTGATGCTCTCCTGAATAATCCAAGCCTGACGGTCTCGAGAAAGCATCGCGACGTAAGTGTTGTCGGCGGTCACACCAGCTTGTTGCAGCATGTTCTGGTCAATGGGCAGCTCGATCTGAGCGCCCACCAGGTCGGTGGCTCCATTCGTTTGAATGGTGAAGGAGTTGCGCGAGAGCTGAACGAACGGCTGTCCCGTCGAGCCGACGACATGGCTTGCCGGGAGCGGGTTGGGGTTCTGGTTGACGATGACTTGACGTTGCGTCTGGGAGAATGTCTCAATCTTGGAGTTGTCGGGGAACACAAGTCTGTTCAATCGCATCTAGTGATGCCATGTTAGTGCAACCCCATGGTGATGAGGCGGGGCCATCATCATCAATCATCGTCAACACCATGACCCAACCCACGACTGACTTGATGATGCACACCCAAAGGTTAATAACTTACATCCCCATTGAGATTAATGACTTGATTGAATTGCGCCTGTTGATCTTGAGCAACGACCGGACAGCTAAGCCTCAAGCCAACAAGCAGAAAAGAAAGTGAAAACTTCATGAGCGTCATTATGATTAGCGAGGGTCAACCACCGGGGCTGTTAACAAAACAAAAAGGGAAAAAAGAAAAAGAGGAGGATGACAAGGGAAGGGAAAGAGAGACACCGTTACTAAACCCACGGGTCCTAGGGGGAAGATGTTTGTATAGCGGAACGACCAACTCAAGGGATCATCAGCATTCAGACGAGGGCCAAGTAAGCTTAATGCCTTCGGGAAGGGATGCGGCTACCGACTTGGATATATGGCAAGGAAGATAAGACATTACGGTGACATGCCACATGGCGGCTCAGCCGGCAGAGTCTCATAGACAGTCGGGCGGTCGGACGCCCAGAGGAGCGCCCAGCCGAAGAGGAGTCGCATCCGCCAATCGCATGACTTGGCTGGAGGGAATCGAGCCAGTGCCACTGCGGCAGACGCCGCTCCCAGCCTCTTCCGGCCGCACAATCGTTGATGCTGATGTCTATGCCTCCTGGCCGAGAAGAAGGTGTATGGGGGCATCCATCGGGCTTAATCATCGGACCATGGCACTTCCGACGGTGCGATGGGGCGGGTCTGACTGATCCTGCTGCCGAGGAGGAAGGACAGGAGACGTCAAGACAAGAGGCGCCCTCGTTCACAGGCTGAAAGAAAGGACGCAGCCGAATGAGGCAGATGGAGAGGCGAAGTGCAGTCACAAGAAAGATCGAGACCAGGGTCCCTCGGTTTCGTACCCAAGCGCGACGGTGTGAGGTGAGTTTCGTCGTTTCGAGCCCGGTCGCGTGGGGTTTCATCAGATGAGGCCGGGCGGGATGAGGATGCAAACGTGACTATGCAATGGGGCCTTACATACGCAGCTGGCTGTGGTGTCTCTCTCTTTCCCGCACTCGCTCATGTAAAAGGCCACCGTCCTAAGCATCCATGTGCAGTCCTCAGTACGACGCAATAGTTGAGGGGGCGATCATCATAATAAACGACGGATCCTTGGCTCCCGGTCCGCCGTTTTGATCTTCTTTGCCAAGTCAAAGTGGAGAGGATTTTCGTTTCGTCGCGGCTGATGTGCGACCTGGAAGAAATGCTTGGCAAATGCTTGTCCACGGGCGGCTCTGCGTCTGTGTCTTGCAGCTCTCTGCGTTTACCTCAAGTCATAGAATGACCTGCTATAGCCCTCCTCTCCCCTCCCGCCCAACGCCTGTTGGCCTTCATCGTCACCTTACCCTTCACCCACCTTCCGACTCTTTGGAAACTGGCCCTTGCTTTTCTTTTTCCTTGGGATTTCTTGGGACTTGTTTGTGTCGTCATCAGAAACTTCATAGCACGAGTAAAAATGTGTCTTGCCTTGTTCGGTTTCGCTGGGCAACAGCCTAGTCCGTTACAGGCCGCCGGGCCGTCTGTGCAACATTTTGCGTTGTAACACCTGGTGGTGATCTGTCCTCGAGGGTGTCGTTCATCAGCAAGGTTGGGAGAATTTGGCATCACGTAGCCCTCTTGCCTCTTTTCTGCTGCCTCGTATTCCGTCATTCACTTGGCGACGTCCAATCCCATGGGGGCCACCACACCAACAGAGTTGACGAGAACGGATTTCGAGTGGGAGGCCAAGTCCGCCTTGCCACCGGAAGTGCCGTTCTGAGGAGAACAGGATAGTGCCAGTTCGTCGAGCAACATGAAGCATCTGTTCTTTACAGACTTTACGAGACAGATGACAGCCATCTTGTTTTTCCCCCTCTTCCTCTTCTCAAGTGAGCGAGGTGTGGTGTTGACTCGATCAGTCTGGCCTGACCACTCTGTCCAATGAGCCTTGGCGCCGTTCTTCTTCATGATCGCCAAATGGCTCTTGCGCCCACCCGGGCAAAATCTCCGACTGGGCATTTGCGGCAGACAAACCGCGAACCCCCCTGATGACTCCATCTGGGTCTCAACCTCTCCCATCCTTGTCGTGCTCACATAATGCTTCGTCTATGATCCTCCCCAGGTCGCCCCAGGTCTTCCATCCACACTGACCCCCATGCTTTGCTCGATACCCTCAGTCCCCAAGCCATCCCATTGGCCGTGAGGCTCTGCTCGTCTTTTCTTAGAACCATGATTAGCTAAAGAATTCTGCTTTGTCTGCTTTGCTTAAACCAGCTCCCCTGCCACCCACGCCTTGGCGTTGCAACACATTGTTCTTGGCCGCGACATCTCGTCTGCTTCGAACGCATCCATCACGACTCCCCAAGCGCGGAGATGCGCCTGATCTCTCCCAAGAACCCCTCACCCATGACTCTCTTCAGACCAATATTTCGTCCAACGCGCCAAGCACAGTCTCAATTGTTCCATCTTCAACCACATCTTTCTGCTTGCGGGCATTTGATATAAGTCCTTCCACCTTCCTGTTCGTCCTCCCACGTTTCCGGGCCGGTGAACTCTTTCCGATCTCTGTCGCGTTATCTCTCCCCCATCTCACCTAATCAACCTTCTCTTCTTTTCCTTTTGTGTCAGCGAATGGTCGGACGCCTTTGGAAGGCCCACCACTCGATCACTTTCCTTCAGTGGCGGCCACCCACACTATTACTCACCTTATCATTATTTCGCCTTCGCATCTTACCGTCTTTTCTTAGTGCGTGTGTTGCTTTCTTCGTCCACTCGAGCTAGTCTTTAGTATCCACGACTTCAACAACACCGCCATAATGCAGTATTCGGTCATTTTCTTCTTCGTCGCTTCTTTCCTGTCTGCCTGTGTCTTCGCCTTGCCGACTGCTAGCTCAGCGGAAGGCGGAGCGGTGGATAGGAACTCACGGTATCTCGCTCGGGGCGTCAGACGCCTGGAGACTCGTCAACAAGCTGGAGCCAGCCAAGGTGCGAACAACACCGCCGCCGGTCGCAATGGTGTCTCGGACGCTCAGGTCATGAACGCCGTCATGTCCTGGATGCAGGATACCGGCAAGGTCACGAAGTTCCTGAACAGTGCCACCTCCTTCACTGGCGCCGAGTTCACCAAGCAAGCCACGATTGCGCTCAACGCGGAGATTGACGAGCTCAACCACAAGATGGTTCTCGACGCTGCGCTCACGGGCATGGATATGGTCGCGCAAGCCAACAATGTCCTCGCTACCCAAGGCACCTTCCAGCAAGTCGTCGACACCCTGCAGTCAATGGTTACCAACGGTCCCGACACCGCGCAGAAGGATGTCAACTCTATTAACAACAACCGCTGCGTTAATGTCCTCCCCAACATCGACATGTACTTCGCTGCCGCTGGTATGCCGCAGATCCAGGCTGTTCGCCCTACCGGATGCTTGGAGGTTGAGGGCGCAAACGTGACTCCCGCTGTTCCCCCCGGCGGTGGCAACAACGCCGGTAACAACGGCGGTGCTGCTCCTGCCGCTCCTCAAGTCACCAACCCCCCGGCCGCGCAACCCGCGAACAACAACCAAAACCAGGGCAACAACAACGGTAACTCGAACCAGAACCAGAACCAAAACCAAAACCAGGGTAACAACAACGGCAACGCCAACCAGAACCAGAACCAGGGCAACAATGGCAACCAGCCCCAGAACCAGAGCAATGGTAATGGAAACGACAACACCGGCAACAACGGCAACACCAACACTGGTAACACCAACACGAACACCGGCAACCAGAATCAGAATCAGGGCACCGATGGTCAGGGCAACATTGGCAAGGGTATTGGAAATGGCAACAACGGTGGAAACCAGAACCAGAACCAGAACCAAAACCAGGGCAACAACGGCAATGCGAACACCAACACCAACACCAATACCAACCAGAACCAGAATCAGAACCAGGGTAACAATGGCAACCAAAATCAGGGCACTGGCAACCGCAACCAGAACCAGAGTCAAACCCAGGGCAACAACAACGGCGGCCAGAATCAGAACACTGGTAACCAGAATACTGGAGCTGGACGCAACAATGGCAACGGCAATGGTGTACAACCTGCTACTCTGGGCAGCAACGGCAATAACGGCAATAACGGCAATCGGGGCGGCAACGCCAACGCCGGACAGCGCCCTCAACAACAACAGCAGTCCCAAAGCCAGCCCCTTCAACCTGCCCAGTTGGGATCGCCAAGGCCTGCGAACAACTAAGGCCGGCAGCATGCCAAGAGTGGCAGTCTGCCTGACAGGTAGCTGCCCACGCGAACCCCGGGGTCCGAGACCTGAACCTACCTACGCCTGCGGGGTTGGCAAGGCAGCCCAAGACCCCCCACTCTTCGAAACTCTCGAACCCCGACTTACGCCCTCTTCAGACTTGCTTACCAAGGTCCTTCAACATATTCGACGGCGGGAACATTGGACTGGGCGACACGTGTGGCGGGCCCTATGGGGCTAATGTTACTGTGTTGGATGGTGTGTGTTTGTCTCTCTGTAAGTTGAGTTGAAGTGTCTCGGTTTCTGCATTTGGTGGGTGTGAGCAGGGGAGGGTCTTCGGCGCCTGGTGCGAATCGGTATTAGTTTGAAGGCCAGGTAAAACGTTTGGTCAAAAAATATTATTCCCTGTAACATATCATCCCGTTCTTCTTACAAAGCATTTAGAGCATTGCTGGTCTTCCATAATTGTCTGTATTAATCCCTGTTGTCGATCGGGTGGGGGGGATTGGTCGAACGAGTCACATACTTGTACATAATTGGGCAGTCTTAATTGAATCCGTGCTCGAAACTCTTCACAAACTTGCGCCATCCTTGGAATGTTTGGAATGGAATATCATGAAACGAAACGTCACCTTCTTTTCCCCTTGCCATCCAGGGGTCCCGCTTGTCGCGTCTGGCTGGAGCAACATAGAGCCGCTTGGATCCCTCGGCCGAAGCCGCCGTATCATTCGTAGATCGGCTTCCCCCATCGTCCTCGGAGAGTTGCGATTGGTTCCCTCGTCCGGACCAGGGTCGCCTTCCACAGTTTCGGGACGAAGAGAGGGGAACCATGATTATTACAGAATTGATGGTGGGCGATAGAGCCTGAGAAGGCTGAGCCCTCCCACTCTTTGCGCCAAAGTCTTGTTCGCCCCTGGATTGATCTTTTGGTTTGTGTCGCCTGACCGTCTGTCGTTCGAGGGCTCGTCACAAAATGTGACACTGTCAACTTGCCATTCGCGTCGAGCAGAAGAACACCCTTTCTCTGCCCCCCGCGTGTCTCGTACAGCCCGATCCCCGACTCGGGTTATTCGTACCTGCGACGCCGCTCAGAGTAACATCTGCCCCTGGAAATTACTCGTATATCCTTGTTCGATCGAGACATTTAAGCTTGATCCATCATGTCACCCTCTCGTAAAATGCCATCGGCCATTGGGCCCCTTATGAAATGAGACATGACAAGCACGAACGCATGATGCAGTTCTGACAGTTAACGATGAAAATTGTCAATTCGCGAACCGGTCCGATTGCTTTTCTTCTTGGAAAATAGACGGCTTTGAAATGTCAATATCTTGGCGCGTTCTAGTCCCGGGCGGCTATCGTGAATACGGGATTTGCTCCGAGAGGACTTCGGCGATGGCCATCGTCTCGGCTCCGGTGGGCACCACGTAGGATCTGCGCCATTGCGGGTCTTCGGCCCCTCGGGTAAGCTCCAGTTCTCTGACGACGATCATGTTGTGGTTCGTTTCGATAATCAACCGAGTCTGTGGGATAGACCTCGGCGCGTATATCTGATCGATAAGCTTAAGCCAAGTTACCCCTTACGGCAGATCATCTTGTTCAATAAGAGCAAGGGAAGGTGAATCCCCCGGATTATCGATGGTCTATTTCGTTCAACTGGAGCCTCGAAAGTGGGTTTTGTGTTACTCAGGATTTGGTAGATCATGTAAGGGTCCAGTGGTTTCATTTCCTTGCATTGAATATAAAAAGCCGAGAGCATCTTAGGAATGCCATCAGGAGATGCGCATCTCCGCGAAGGCGCTTCGCAAGCCTCGCTCAGAAGAGACAGCTTCCGAAGTCTGTGTCAAGATATCATGTCAGGCAGTCGGTAGCAATCATATCCTTGGCGGGATTGGAAGTGCACGTTGACCTGTTTGATCTGCAGGACACGAGCCACGGAACATTGACGAAAAAACAATTATCCTTGTCCGGCTATTGTTCTCGTAACTGTATGCGTGATTCCGCCTTGACTACATCCTGCTTCGACTGTCTGCAAATTCAAAGACTAGAAGGCTGCAGCTGCAATGAGTCCTCAAGTCAGGGTGTCTACTTGTGTTTTGTATCAAGATATTGACATTAGCAACTGCCGATTTTCACACCCGAGGGGCGCAAAGTTTCTCACAAGTATCGCAGCACATTGCGCCTCAGTAGTGCCGGTGGGAGAAACATATCTTGCAAAACCTACAAACGGTTTTGTTTACTCTCTCTGCTTGTACGTACAAATTCTACGGCTACGTTATGAGTGGCGTTCTCTCAATCGCAGTCTTGGTGCGTGCCTGAGATACCCTTCATAACACACATTGCTGTTCCTCCGAGGCATTCAATTACAGACGTGCCCCACTCCAGTCTGTCCAAGTTCAAGATAATCGAAGTGTTACCACGCACAATGTAGGCTGCTGGAGCTACAGGAGGAAGTAATCGGCATGCTGCTCATGGGCCTTGACTGAACAGCAATATGGAAATAATTTGATGTTGGTTACTTGCCGAGCTTCAGTGTATCGTCTCGCAGCTCCGAAAAGCCCCGCCTGTTCTTCATTCATAACACTTGGGCATAATTCAAGGCCAACCGAATCCTGTTTGGTAAGTATCAACATGTTCAAATGGATGAAAATATCAGAAGAAAGAACCGAGATTTTCATATTAGACAAAAGTGTGGTTCACAAATGGGGAATGAGGGACGATATTCGTGACTGGCATCTGTTCAATCAAGCACGACTACGCTGTCAAACTTGATTTACGCACCACCAATTAATTAACATCAATTAGTTGTAACTTTGGGTTTCACGGTTGAGAGTTTGGCAGCCAGCTACATCTCTAATCCAGATCTTGAAAAGACATCAGATTTTGTCCATCTTCCAATAAGTAGTCTGAAGGTGACGCGTTTTTCAACATTTTTCAACCGCGTTCGCCTTCGATGTGTCACACTTTCATTAACCAAAGCAGTCAGCGAATCAGACATCGTCAAACATTTCGGCGTCGGCCGAAATGTGGGGGCAAAACGAGCGGAAGTGGGACTCCCAGCTTTGGCCAAGAGAAATTCGCGATGGCGCTCGCTCAGTTGAAAACCCACAAGTTTCAGCCCACTCATCGCATATGTCATCACGACTGCGCGCTCTCAGAGCTACGCTCATCTCCCACCCAATTGAAGCCACGAGACCCGGGCTGAAAGCTTCCTGCCTGAAACTTTGCCAAATCGTACCTGACGCGATAAGCCGCAGTGCACCGCCTGCTTGAGTCCCCCACCACCGAGGATGTTGAGGGTGTCGGAAAGGACAGGGAAGGTTACCCCTGAAGCCACTTCAAAACACCAGCCACAGTATGTTTTCAACAAACCCTCACTTTGTGACTGATGATCTAATTGGGCTGCTATGTAGCAAGTAAGCTATCTCCGCTACACTCTCCGACGCTACGGTAATTGACACTATGGAGATGCTGTGCCAATGGGCAGGCAACTTGTCAAAAGTGCAGATGTCTCCAACTGCGGTTGCGTCGTCAAGCATCAGCAATGCCGCCGCCAGTCAACTGGGACATCTTGGGAACACCGTCAGAAAGGGCCATGTTCCATCATGTACGCAGGTGCACAGTTGCCGGCTTCGGGACTATCGCGTTCCTGGAGAAGCTATGGAGCAGTTACATTATCCCTCTAGGATACTACTCCGACTCGGTTAAGCACGCCCTGATAGCTTTGGGATGTGCACATCGAGGCTTCATAGGCGACTACACAGGAGACCACCAGGTTGCGGATGCACAAACATACAATATGATGGCATCTCAACAATTTTCCAAAGCCATGAACTTCACGGCCCTGGATATGCAAAAGCTTTCGCCTACCACCCTCAGGACGTCGCTCGTTTCTTGTTTGATTTTCATCTGCCTTGAAATCATGCAAGGACGCTACGACAAAGCTTTGCAACATCTTAGGTCCGGCTCAAGTATCATGATCGCCCTCTCAAAAGCAGCAACCGATGCTCAGGCAGGAATACCTCTTTCAGCGCACCAAAAGTGTATGGCCGAGACAGTCAAGAACTATTATGATCAGTTATGCGATCTTGCCGACATGTTCACTTGCTTTGGCTGCGATGCTGCCTACTTACTGGAAGAAGGGGAAGTCATTCCAGACCTGTCCTACTTCTTCCGGGCGAATAGCAACACAGACACTTCCAAGCCATACTCCTCCGCCACCGAGGCTCGGTACGATCTCCACCTTGTAGATCAGGCCTTCGGGAAAGCTCTACGCTACAATGTTCGCGGCAGTATACCGATGTCTTGGACCTCGTTTTTGAATCTGCCAGACGGCATGTCACCACTAAGAGATGATGAGCAGTGGGCCGAGGAATGGCTTCACGCTCGCCATCTTTTCGATGTCTTCAGTGCTCGGCTTGAGACTTACACTAAGAATCTCAAGTCAAGTTCATCAACGACCAGACAAGAGTTATGGGAGGCGCGGCTAATGGCAGTCATGCAAAAGGACTGGTCCGTAATTATCAAATGCCTCGAGGCCCCGAGCTCACAACCTCCGGATCGAAAATATTTCCAGGATCTTCTGGAAGATGCCGAATCGCTCGTGTATGCTGAGGCTGAGCCGATGCAGTATCCAGTCTTCACCCTGGCTGCTGATGTGATCCCGCGGATGAGCCTGATTGCTGCTTTCTCTGGTGAGCTAGATTTGCAGCAAAGGTCCATTTCGTTGCTCTATGCCATGCGAAGGAAAGAAGGCATGTGGGATAGTCGGGAGATCGCGAGTGTGCTAGAGTCTATCCTGCTGGCTAGGGAATGCAGCATCTGGGATATGGAGTATGAGAGGATTTCCCTTCCGCGACTAGCGGGAATGCTGTTATCGCTGAAGCTCTATGATGGTAGCAGCACGTTACCTCTGGCTACGCTTGTAGACCAAACTTCTAATTAAGAGGCAATGGTCTGCTTTGTAACGCGGAAGAGCAACCTGAAACTTTGCGTGAGATCTTGAAGATGGTAGACAACGCCCAGCAGACAGTGGCATTCGATAGATAAGCTGACGATCTAGCAAATTAGTGCGAACTAATTCATCGATTTGCTCCCCCGAAAACCGGAGCCTGACAGACAGTTCCTGGACTATCTCAACCCCTGCTTATCTCCCCGCACTTGGGTGCCATCGATTTCCCCATGCACGATGCCGTCGATCCAACCTCGCGCAGAAGCCCCGCAGTTGAATGGGCAGATTACTACCTCAACTAGGTAGGTCCCGATTGATGCTGATAGTGCCAACTCTGTTGGCAGACTCGGCACTTTCAACCCCGACTCTGTCTCCGCCTGACCGCCGGATAATGGGCTCACCTTGCAACGAGGGTAAATGAATTGGAGGAGATGTAACGTCGCTATTTGGAGATGCTGTTGCCCCTCAGTCTCCTCAGTCACATCCGCAATTGCGTCCTGATATGGCCGACGTCAACAGAAGTCGTCATGCTGGTGCAGTATGTGTCCCACTTAGCTTCCCGAGAAGCAACGATCCAATTCCCTGGGCCAAATGCTGGGGCGGGTGGTGGCAATCCCCGCTGATATAACCTCCTCGATCTCGGGGATGGGGTTCCAAGTCGCGACACTATTGACGCGGCGTCGAGGACAACTTCTCCATCATGATGCTGGGAAAGGTCGTCGGGCCTCTTGCGGCCTTGATTGCGGCGCTTCCCTTCGTAGACGGCCAGGCCATTCGCTTCAACAATCCAGAGGGCGTGGATATCTGGTGCGGCAAAGCCTACCGCGCGACGTAAGTAATGCAAGCCGCGATGCTCGCCGACATACTTACCGTTATTCTCCAGTAATTCGTCCTTCGACCCGGGTGGCTGGTTCCCGGAACCTGCCATCTCGCAGGTACCGCTCCTGCGCCTCAAAGTCCGGCCCCGGTTGAGCATTTATCTCGAGACCGACGACACCGCGAACTTGCTGATCGACGCTGCAATCTCGAATCAAGTCGGGTCACCTCTGCCTCCAGGATTTGGGCAGAACTCCACCAGTGCTGCACCGAAGACACTGAAGATTGAGATTATCAACGGGGAAGATGTTCTGGCGACCGAAGACATAGAATTGGGGTCGGTGGACAACGAGGTGCCGCTTCCTCTGGATACCTTGGCACCCCGGATGGATGCATACAGCATCACCGTGCGCACAACGCTCGACTCGACACACATCTACGAAGGCTGGACCGAATTCTCCTTCCTCCCCTATCCGGAGGATTACGGTAGTGTAGCACGCATTGACAACCTCTATGGTGGTCTCCTTGCGCAAAGAGGAAAGGATGCCGAATGGGACTTGATCTTCGCGTACACCTACTACAGTCAGTTCTTCTTTTGATGTATTCAGATCACTTTGCTAACATCCAAAAGCCCAATGGACTCTCTACTGGAATGAGAGCGTTGATACCCTGAACGAATTTGCGGCGATGGGCTACAACGTTATCCACATCGTGCCTACGGGTAGTCTTGGCGAGATCCCCTTTCCATGGGACGAGTTTGAGCCCTACCTCCAGCGGGCCGATGAACTCGGGATCTACTTCCGCTATGACGTTCTCTGGACATGGCCCAACTTGACAAACATGGTTGATCAAGTTACTCGGCTGCGCACACATCCATCAATATTGCTTTGGTATCAGAGCGACGAGGCGGATGGAAAGGCGAACCCGCCCAACTCGACGGGGATCGCGTACGAGCAGATCAAGTCTTTGGACCCGTACCACCCAGTCTCATTGGCATTGAACTGCTGGGACTTTTACTACGCAGACTACGCAGCAGGCGCTGATATTGTCATGTCTGATGTGTACCCCGTGGCTATCAATGCGACATTCTCGCCGGTATACGACACAGTTTGTAATACGACATATGGGTGCTGTGGGTGCGACGACTGTGAAGGTAACTTCGAGGACATTTCTGTCCGGCTGGACGAGTTCTATCGCCGAGATGAGATTCTCGGATGGCAAAAGACGCAGTGGTTCGCGCCTCAGGCTTTTGGCAACGAGACGTTTTGGGCTCGATACCCGACAGCTGACGAGGAGGTCGTGATGACCATGCTCTCGGTAAACCACGGTGCCAAAGGTATCGTGATGTGGAATTACCCCGCTACTGATGAGTTGGAGAACCTCACCAGTCGTCTTGCTGGCGTGTTCACAAACACAGCGGCGGTAGACTTCCTATTGGGCACAGAGAGGACGCAGGACCTTGCCATTGAAGGGGCCAAGAGAGTTGACGCCACGGTGTGGGTGGACAATGCGAAGGGACAAGCACTGATCAGCGTTGTGAACCTCAACTATGATGGCATTCCAGGCGAGGTTAAAGTGGTTCTCCCTGACGGAGTTAATGTTGGGGAAGTTGGCGAGGTTCTCTGGGGAGATGTGGCCTGGGGTTTTGTTGATGGCGGCTTGGTGGCCACGGAGGGGCTGGTGGGGTTGCAAACCTCTGTAATCATTGCAAACCTTCTCTAGGTAGTTAAAATGATCACTTGCTGTTCCACCGATTCGAACCTGATTCCGGAATTGACCCACCTCATTTGCTTCCAACAGTTGAGGTTTAGCGTTTTCAGGAGTTCACAACCGGCGGGTAGCGGTTACTGCCCTGGTCTCAGGAGCGGCAGGCGGGAAGAGGCAGGCGGCACGGCATTCATGCCCTGTTCCTGGATTGTATATGCATTGGTATTACTTGGCAGCACTTTTCCGAGATACTCTAGCTTGTCGACTTTCAGTAATACGCATTGCTTATGCCTGCCAACCAGATTCGTCGAACGTCACCTCGGAAACTTACTGGTAAATGGGAAAAGGGTTGATGTAATTGCCCATGAGCTTGTAAACCGTAGTTCGCCTTGCGGTCGCAATTGTTAACTACCTAACTTGTGATTGCTGTCATTGACGTAGAGAAATACCAGAAGTGGCACAACTTGCTAACGATTCTGGTTTGGACTATGAATCTAGGACATCGGCCTGGGTACGAGCAGAGCGTTTGGATCTTCCACACCAACAACAACTCACTTCACTGGAATGTCGATGTGTCGACCCATGTTCGAGATTGTGTCCCAACAGCCATCTTCGTCTCTAATATTTGCATGTCTGTGTGCTCGCGTACAATCTTACACAGCCAGTCCTACCAGGCACAGTGACCTCCATCAACCCTCAGGTCGGCGCCTGTCATGAAACTGCTTGCGTCACTTAGTAGGAAGAGGATGGGACCTCGAAATTCATCCACAAGACTGAGCTGATACAGCATATTATCCCCTGTCCATTGAGCCTTCATGCCGGGTTTCCGAAGCGCTTCTTCCGTCGCCGGAGTTTGTATATAGCCCGTCGACAGAGTGTTCACCCGAATTAGAGGCATTCCCTTACGAGAACCCCACTCTGCTGCCAAAGATCGACCCAACTGGAGAACAGCTGATTTGGATGAATTATACGCTGCCGTATCTACGCCCTGTCCATGCTTGTTAGGGAGCAGTGAGGATGCTCGAGATGTTCGTTGACTGACCTTGTTGGCAACTGAGCCACTCATGCTTGCTGTAAGGACTATACTTCCATCAACGTTCGCTTTCCTCATCTCTAGTGCGACAGCTTGTGCAATGGCGAAAGTTCCTGTAACATTAATCTCCATCAAACGCCGAAATCGCTCCACCGAGAATTCGTGGGCAGGGTCGTTGTCAGACAAGCCGGCACATGCCACTAAACCGCGAATCGGATGCCTCAGTTGGGGCACGAGAGTCTCGAATACCGTTGAAATGCCACGAGCATCGGTGACATCCAAACGATAGTAGACAAGCAAGCGACCGTGCTCATGGGCAACTGCGAGAAGCTGATCTGCGAGTGTTGTCAGACATATAACACTACAAAGGCGTCTGCTCCCGATTACTTACTCCACACCTCGGTCCGAGGATTTTCTAACACGTCCAGACACACGACATCTCCTCCCGAATCTAGAATACAACCTGCTGCTTCCACGCCAAGATATCCGGCCCCTCCTGTGACTGTTGAGGCATGTCAGAAAGACGCCTTTGCAAGCGTGAACACGAATGGGCCATACTGAAAATGGTTCGGTTGTCTAAGCGAAACAAAGCCCGCGTGTCGACGTGAACCCCGCCCTGGCGCTCCTTCGTTTCTCGAAATTCCGGGCTTGCAGTGTTACTCATGGTGATGCTGTTAGCTTTTGAAAAGGGTCAAAACGAAATCCCAATCCGGAACCACGAAAGCTGCACATTTATAGCTTCTGCATGCTGTGGCGGGGCCTCAAATGGCCGCCAAACTGTGTTTATATTGTCATCCAGGTGAAGGCTCGCAAGCTGTTCCCTCTTACCGCAATTTTCTTCAGCATCCACCTTCGCTGCTATGATCACATGCACTTAATAACCCCAAGCCAAGAAGGTTGAGATGATTCATCACAACGAGGTTCGGTACTGCTACCCAAGTCAACAAGTTCCCACTTGCCGCTTGCCGCTTGCCGCCTGCCGCCTGCCGCATACCGTCTGCCGTTTACCGTTTGACGTCTGCCACCCATGCAATCCTGACTCTGAGAAGGTAATTAACCGCGTGAATCAATCGACCCCGCAAGTGATAGCTTTAATGGGATATGCTGCGTCATCTGATGTACTAGCTTCCATGTCAGTATCGCCCCATTGTGCCCTCGAGGAGGACCGGAGTCTCGTTTGCGCTCTACATTATCGCTTCGTGTCAGACGACTTCCATGCTTCCAGTTACTCTCTCCCGCAAGCCGCAAGCCGCAAACCGCCAGCTGTGTCAGGTACGATTTCTCTTTCAAGCTTGGTTCAACCTATTGCGTGGTGGAGTCGTGGGCCCCGGCCGGGAGCCACCAGTTGAATACTGGTATTCTTGTTAATAATCCGCTCGAGCCGATGTATAAGAATGCCCTTGTGATAATTCTGCGAAGTCTGATCTTCGTTCTTCATCGTCTTTTCCGCATAGTGTCCTGAGGACCTGATGACCATTCACCTTCTCTGTGAAGCTCAAACATAGCAGCCACACAATGTCGTCTCGTCCCTTAGAAGACAAACTAGCTGTCGTCACAGGAGCCTTTCGCGGTAAGTCATTGTGTCTACACGACGGCAAGCAGGATATACTGATGGGAATGGTACAGGTATTGGCGCAGCAATTACCAAGCACCTAGCTGCAAAAGGAGCAAATGTCCTGGGCGTTTACACCTCTGACTCATCAACGCAGTCAGCAAACGACATGGTCAATGCACTTCAAAAGGCACATGGTGTCAAAGTCATTGCAGTGCAAGCGGACCTCAGCGATTCGGAAGAAGCTCCACGCCGCATTGTCGACGCAGCCCAAGCTATGTTCGGCCACTCCGAGAACTTAACCGTCAATATCCTGGTCAACAACGCGGGAGTCGGCGGGGACTACCCATTAGGAGAGGTGCCTATGGCTGAATTCCATCGTATCTATGCTGTGAACGTCTTGGCGCCTATTATGGTTACTCAGGCGCTTCTACCGTTTCTCCCTAACGATAGATCCGGACGTATTGTGAACATCTCGTCCGTCGCCTCGACTATGGGATTCAAAACCCACACTCTTTATGGAGGTACTAAAGCTGCACTGGAGGCGATGACAAGAACTTGGGCGCGGGAGCTGGCTGAGAGAGCAACAGTTAACGCAGTAAATCCTGGACCTGTAGAGGGAGATATGTACTGGGCTGCGGGCGAAGACTTTTGGAAGCAGCTTGAGCCATTCCAGCTTGCTGCACCCTTGTCTGCGGTTCGAGAGACAGACCGGCCAGAACTTGTCAGGCTCGCAAACGAAAAGATGGCTGGAAGGCGTCCCGCATATTGGACCGAGGTCGCTGACATAGTGGGAATGCTGTGCGGTCATCAGGTTTGTCATTACTGCGAGAGAACCGGCGAACAATGCAATCACTGGCGGCCATCCACTCTGAACACCACTTGGTGAGAGAGGTCTATCAAGACTTAGAATGCAGTGCAGCAGGGCTCGTGGTCCCTTTTGTATCAGAGAGCTGATGAAGCTCAGTGTCATGTCGGGGGACGCATGGATGACTCGCGCAGTCGGGGCGCAGGAGCATCCCGGTTTCGTGCAAAAGCGAGGGGCTCGCTAGGTTTTTATGATCAAGCAGCGCACCGCATGGATCGGGAAGCATTCATGGTCGCATTTTTGCCCATTCCAGCTGTCATGATATTGTGAAGACGCGCAATTGGCCATGAAGAAACAAGATTCCCACTGAAGCCACCCCTGCCTGGCCCATATCAGGGGCCCGGGTCACAGTGAATCCGACCAGCAGCGGGGACCCTTGCCAGGGGTGGGAGGACGGGCCTTGGATGAGGTCAGTGACAGGCAGCGAGGTCGCTGTAGAGTGACCCTAACGAAATAACCTTAATGCTTAACCCTAACTTTGCTGGCGCACCTTTCAGCGTGTCTAACGGCTCCTCTAGCCCCTAGGTTCTCCTCCTCATCCACCATCCACCACCCGCATCTGCCCCAATAGCCCCCCAATGCCCTCTGTGACGAGCTCCCCGAAACCTCGGAACCGCTCTGAGCCCCCTTCCTTCGCCCTGCTAGACTGCTCGTTATGTGGAAACTGAGCTGATTCCGTTTCGTACCTCCTCGTTTTTCGTCTTAAGCATGCCGGTCCAGGTGGGCTCTTACAAGGGCTTAATCTTGGCAGATCTTGGCGGGGGTTTCGGATGACCCAGGACGGAGAAGCTGCAGGCTCTTCACACGCACTAACAGCTTGAATCCCGGCGCTGTGGCCCTGTGCCCCGGAGCCACCCCTGGGCGCCGCCACGTTCGTCTGGTCCCTCTGAAAGTCTGAGGGTCGCAGCGAGAGATCATGTTCGCTGGGCCGCTTCGGGTACCACCTGGCTGCTGACATGTGTCAGGTGCCGGTGGGGGTTTGAGGCGTTGCGTAGAGAGAAACAAACGGGGACGACTTCATGCGATGTTATCAGCTCTTTTGGGGGGGCAGAGAAGGCTCTGTATTGAGATGTTGGACATCACTTGTCATGGCTAAGTTTCCCCCAAGAAAGCCTGATGTCGTCAAGAGTTCATCAAACCTGGAAAATGATGGAGGGCTTGCCCAGGACTAAGTAAGGATTGGCACCAAGACATGGCATTGCCACCTCATCCCGCGGCACGACGGCCAAGATCATGATCGCAAAGATTTTCTCATGATCACCACACCCAACCAGGGGAAGACTGGCGAGGTGCAACCAGTCAACAACATCCAGTTTCATGTTGGAGGCCCAGCCAGAGCTGAGCTCGCGTCTTCCACGGCTTCACTCGATTCCGGATTTCCTCTTCTGATTTCGAGGGGCCGTTGCTAGTCCGACATGGCAAACAACCCCTGAAGATCCCGAGCACGAAGGCTAAGCCTCGAGTTCTGCCCGTGGCCCGACAGATTCTGCCCTCGACCTTCAGCCCTGGCTAAACTCCCCTGCCAGAGCCGCAAAGCCAAAACAGACAGACCCTGGTCTTTCATCCCTTCCCTCGGAAACCGTCCCGTCACTTTTCAGATGGCAGCGAGACTTGCGATCCCATCTTGGCCCGGTTACAGCCACGCTAGAAACCTGCTAGTGCACCCAGTACCGCTGTCTCTCGCCTACAGACCCTCACCGCATCCAGCACGGCTTCAGCCTCCATCATGATCTAGCCCAATGCTCAACATCATGTCTGAGGAGTTGCTCACGCCTTGTTATCCCCGGTCCCCGGCTCCCCACGAATGTGACGACAACACCACGTCTCCATCACCTTCACACCACGCTCCGGCACTCCCATGCCCAGGCCATGATCAGGAAAAGCCACCACACCTCCTGCCCTGCTATCGCCCGCGCGCATCCGATCTTCCGTGCACCGGTTGTTGCGGACGATGTGCATTGGCAAGGCCCATCCCAACCCAGCAGCCAAGGCTCGCGATGACCAGGCCCCGTCTGATATAATGACTTGGCTCCCCTCCTTTGTAGAGATGTAGTGATCAGCAGGTCTGTCCCCCTTCACTTCATCCGCACGCGCGCTCTCTTTCGTTCGTTTCTTCCACGCAGCTAGCCCATCGCCAGCTCGCTGCGGCTTTTTGTTTACTTCGTTTCATTCAACAACTCAGAGACCGGTATCTCGACCCCGTTCAGAGGCGAGCCTCGTACATTCCTTTATTCCTTTTTGTGTCTTTCCTTTCGGACGTCCGGACTCGCAAGTACACGATATCTACACCCATATACCGACTCGACAATCATGTTACTTTCAAGATACGCAATCCTCTCATGGCTCGCCTCAGTGGCGGTGGCTACCCCGAACCCCCCAGCAGCAGCACCTGCTCAGTGCGAGCCAAAGACCGAGACCATCGTACACACAGTTCATGTACCGACAACAGTCCACGAGGTCAAGACGGAGACCGTACACGTCACGGTGCCGGGAGAGAAGGAAGTCGTTCATGTCACAGTCCCTACCACAATACATGAAGTCAAGACCGAGGTCAAGCACCTGACCCAGACGGAAGTCAAACACGAAATCAAGACGGAAGTCAAGCATGTAACCGTCACCGCACCGCCCGAGACGAAAACCGAAGTCAAGCACGAGGTCAAGACTGAGGTGAAGCACGTCACTATCACCGCTCCTCCGCAGGTAGTCAAGGAGACGGTCACCAAGAAAGAGGAGGTCAAGGTCACTGTTCCGGTACACGTGACCCAGACGGTCCCAGTACACATCACGAAGACGGAGGTTAAGACAGCCATTCATACCGTCGTTCAGACCGCTCCGCCAGTGGTCCATACCGTGGTCGAGACGAAGAAGGAAGAGGTCAAGGTCACGGTCCCAGTACACGTCACCCAGACGGTTCCAGTGCACATCACCCAGACCGAGACAGCGGTACACACTGTTGTCCAGACTGCGCCTCCCGTTGTCCATACCGTTGTCGAGACCAAGAAGGAGGAAGTAAAAGTCACGGTGCCGGTACACATCACGCAGACCGAGACAGCCATCCACACGGTTGTCCAAACGGCGCCTCCCATTGTTCACACCGTCACTTCCGAGCGCATCGTCTCTGCGCCTCCCGTCACTCAACATGTTACCAAGGAGGTTCCTGTTGAGAAGATTATCACGCATGTGGCCACCGTCGTCCAGACTCTGCCGCCTGTCGTTCACACGGTGGTTCAAACCGCACCTCCTCTCGTCCACACAGTCACCCAGGTGGCCACCGAGACTCTCCACATTACCCTACCCCCTCAAGTCGTCACCTCCGAACGGGTTGTCTCCGCGCCTCCCGTCACTCACGAAATCACCAAGGAGGTTCCCGTGGAAAAGATCATCACCCAGACTCTGCCACCCGTTGTCCACACGGTGGTGCAAACTGCTCCGCCCGTCGTCCACACCGTCATCGAGACCGCTCCGCCTGTCGTCCACACCGTTGTCGAGACTGCTCCTCCTCTGGTCCACACCGTCGTCCAGACCGCACCTCCTCTCGTCCACACAATCACCCATGCGGTCACCGAGACAGTCCACGTCACTCTGCCTCCCCAAGTTGTCACCTCTGAGCGAGTTGTCTCTGCTCCTCCCGCTCCTCCAGTGACCCACGAAGTCACCAAGGAGCTGCCGGTCCACGTTACCCAGGTCGTGACCAAGGAGCTCCCAATCGAGAAGATCATCACCCACGTCGCTACAGTCGTCCAGACCCAGCACGCAGTCCAAACCGTCACTCTCCCTCCCCACGTGGTGAAGGAGACAGAGACGGTCCACGTCACCCTTCCTCCCCATGTGGTCAAGGAAACCGTTCACGTCACTCTTCCTCCCCATGTCGTGAAGGAAACAGTGCACGTCACCTTGCCTCCTCACGAGGTCAAGGAGACCGTGACGCTCCCGCCGCACACCGTTCACCAGGTCGTCCACGTCACGCAGGTAGTCAGCCACTGCGCGACAACCGTGACAGCCGGAGCCGGCCACGTTGCCTCCCCTCCTCCAGCGGCACACCCCATGCCGCCGCCCGCTCACGAGGCTGCGCCGCCGGTCCATACCATGGCGCCTCCCCCGGTGCAACATACCCCGCCACCGGCGGTGCACACCAAGGCCCCTCCGGCCCAGCACACTCCTCCCGCAGCGGCACACCCCGCGCCATCTGCGCCGCCGGCTCACCAGATGCCCCCGGCTCACGTCGCTCCCCCGGCCGAGGCCATGCCCGCCCACCCTCCGGCCGAGACACCGGCTGCTCCTCCCGCTCACCAAGCGCCGGCGACCCCTCCCGTACATGAGGCTCCCGCAGCTGAGAAGCCCGGGGAGAAGCCCACTGAGAGGCCTGAGGAGAAGCCCGCCGAAAAGCCAGCGGAGGCCGAGAAGCCCACCGAGAAGCCTGCTGAGGACAAGTCAGCTGAAGAGAAGCCTGCTGAGCCTGCAAAGCCAATGATGAGATTCATGCGGCGTAGGATTTAATGAGGAGGGTGATGGGAGAAAATACAGTGCGACTCATGACGATAGGAAGCCGGGGAGGAAAGGAACGTTGATATATGCCTTGGAAGACGCAAGGAACTAGGAATTATTTTTCTTATATGTAATCTAAATATTAGACGGTAGCGATGACGCTGGACGAAGTTTGATACCCTGTCAGCCTGCCTTCAATGAGACTTAATACCTCTTATGATTGAACTCGTTGCTTTTATTCCTACCTCTGTGTTTGAGTTATTCCTTGAAGCGGTGAATTCTAAAATGAGACCAAATGCTTAGCCCCAAGGAATGCAGCAATATGACAGAATTCTATGATGGACAAGGAACTACCGAAAGGCCATGTAAGTGATCTACAATGGGCTTGCCGTTTGATTATCGACAGCAGGTGGATCGTTCGGTCCGTAGACTCGGACCGGCGAGCACTGATGTCGTTGAATCAGCGCTTATTACGGCATCCCACACGCTGCGATTAGACTTTGCGGACCTTCTGATAACACGGCAAGTCCCGACGCTGGTGATAACCACGAGCCATCAACGAGAAATCAAGGATACTGGACGCCTCGTACATCTCATTACTATGCTAAGTATCATATTGAATCGTAACATCCATTGTGGGGTATTCGTCATGCGGTGCCATTCCGTTATCCATGTGGAACACATTTACATCATGAAAGCCGCGAGCATCGTCAGTCCAGCCATTGACATGAGCATGCCCGGACCAGTGGCACCAGCCCCTGATGCCGGAACGGTAGATGGCGTCGGGGTGGCCGAGGGAGAAGTGCTGTTCGTCTTGGAGGCGTTGAACTGAGCGACGACAAACTCCACGGCGTCATCGGTGTAGTTGGCAAAGTACGAGCCGTGGACCTTGGTGTTGTTACCGATGTCGCAATAGACGTCGCCCGTGTCGCACCACGACGCGATCTTGGAGGCGTACTGCTGGCATGCAGTAGTGTTATCGCGAGGGAAAATCTAGAACAAGTATCGAGTCAGTCTCTCGCATCGGTAAGTGCACATCTTGACTCAACGTACGCCGTCGCGAGTGCTCGTGCCGCGGTTCCAGGTCGAGTTGGCGGTATGGGTTGGGTCTCCGAAGAGGACGACCGCAATTACTACGAGAGAATCAGCGCTCAATGTCCGAAAGATCCACGCCGAACAAGCTCTTCGTGAGCTTTTACGTACCGCTCTGATCGACGATGGAAGATGCAATTGGCGCTGTGTGGTTGAACTCTAAATCCAGCGCCTCGCCGGCGTCTTCGTCGACGCTGCCACACAGGGTATCACCCGTCACTTGCGCACCCTGCGTTCATGCACGTCAGCGGGAAGAAGAAAGCAAAAAGCGCAGCCTCATCGCATGTTGGTGTCCAATCATCGTCCGTTGGCCCTTCTACAGCGCCCCAGAAATGGCGTGTCGTCCCAAGTCAAGTCATGTCATGAACTCCTCTCAAAGCTCCTCGCAGATGCACACTGTCCCACGTACCTGGGAATATCCGAGCAGGGCAACCTTTGAGTCGGGACATCTCGCGCTGTACGCCGTCAAGGCCAGGTTCATGGCAATGTCTCCATCTTCCACTGAGATTGAGTAGTTGTCGAAGGTCGCGGGGTAGTCGAGCGGCTCGATCTGGGACCCGGGGATGGCGGCGACGACGCCATTGGCGACGCTGCCGATCCGGCCAACACCAGCTGGCTCGTTGCTGCCACGTGCGACGATGAGATGCACTCCGCTGGTGCAGGTGCTGGTCGAGTTCTGCGCGGCGGCGCTGGCCGCAAAGAGGCCGGCGATCGCGGCGGTGGTCCTCGTCGTGGATCTCATTTTCGGTCGGTCAGGTTCGGTCGTGGATGATGAGCGATGGTGAGACAGGATCGGTTTGGTCGGATCAGACGGTAGTCAAAGCTAGCAGGTAGAGGGCACAGAGGAGAACCGGGGAGGTCGGAGAGGTATTTATCTCGGCAGCCCACCGGGTTGGATGACGTCGCAGACCTCAACGATTCTTGGCGCAGAGGCTGGCATGGTGTATCCGTATGCGCATTGCTAAGCAGCACTGCATGCCCGCGAAAAGGGCCGGCGAGGCAACGCCATCCCATCGCAAGTGCCGCACTGCCGCGCCATCAGCTCGTCGAAATTGAGCCCGGCGCAAATATCGGAAAGCCGGGGTGGCTGCGCTGCTGTGTTGTGATCGCCAGGGGTACCCCGTCGTGGCCGAACGGCGAATCAGACGGAGGTTTGTCGTCCGCCGGACGCCATGGATCGTCGACCACATGTTCGGACTGTTGTTCAAGTCGGCCAGGGGTCCAGGTCTAGGTCCGAGGTGGCTTCCGCGTGGGGTTAGTGCCTCGTGGTTTTGCTCGTAGATATGACTAGAAATGGCTTGAGCTACATAGGACAATATGACTAGAAATGGCTTGAGCTACATAGGACAGGAGCTGTGTTGTGTGGGATGGGCGGAGGAGGATGGAAGAGCCTCGGCATTGCGTCCGAATAGAGCATCGTTCCTGTACCCCAGGTCCGTTAGGCGCGTATTTCCTGCTTTTACGTCCACTATTGGGCCCGCTTCTGGCCGTGTGACCCGATGAGGTTGGGAAGTTGGAGACGGACGGGCTGGGGATGCGGGGATGGCGGATGCGGGGAAGAGGGAACGGTACGCCCGGCCGGTTAGCTTGTTGGTTCATTCATGCGATTGAACAAGTGATGAGTTGTTGCCTGTGAAGCAAGATGGGCAGAGGTCAAGATTGCAAAGGATTACGCAGTTCATTCTACTTTGGATGGAGGTAAGGTTGCGGGTTGGCTGCAATTGCAGGATGGATGCAACTCCGACAGTTACTTTGCCAAGGCTGAGCCCCGTTGCGTCAAATTGTAAATTCTCCATCCGTTGCTTGGCAAGTCTTCACCCTTGTCATCGCAAATCCACAGCCTCCAAGGCCACATAGCCTGGTGCCGGCGACGAGAATAATGTTCACGAACTTAAAGCTGCAGCAATTAAACCTCTTCTACGTTCGGAGAAGCGTTCATAGCTTTAATTCCCAAAGACTCGAAGCTCGGATATTGAAGACTTAAAAACATTTGAGGTCTCTTCAAAACTTTCAGTGCTATCTTCTGTCCAGGATCAGGTGCAAGCGGCGTTGAGACGCTGATGCTACCATGTAGACGAAGGAGTCGGTCTTGATTGCCTCCACTTTGCATTATCACGCCAAACTACATTTGAATTGGCATCAGACCGCCAAGGTTCGCAAAGCGCGGGCGAGTGAAACAATTAGAAGGTGTGCACGTCGACATCAAAGTGCAATGGCGAATTTGCCTTTAGACACGTGGTGCACTTGTGATGAAACATACGGCTCACTTGGGAAATTGAAAGTATTAACTATGGTGTGTTGTGTCTTAAACCCGCAGGATGTAAGCAGATGCGGTTGCCTCCCGACATATTGCCAAGCAGAACGTGTAACCTTGCTAAGGCTCGTGGAGGCTCGTGGAGGCTCGTGGATGCGCTCGAAAGATGAGCTGTCATAAGCAGCGTCTGTCTACAAATTTCCTATACAAATGGATGCTTGTTGGCGCGATAGCCATCTCTCTGTTCTAATGTTGCTTATTTTATGCTTGTTATCAGTTGACAACTGAGAACTCTCATGTCTTCCACAAAGCCTGTGTAGTGTGATTTGTGTTGCTCTTTTTCTGATATTGCGGCCATGGCACTCGCAGATGATTGCTATCACTGACTTTGATTATGTGGACCCAGTTGTCTTGTATTTGCGGCCCTCTTCATCCAGGATGCTCGAGATGCTGACCTCACAAGGCCCGGCCGAGACATTTGCTACCCAAGACTCAGATACACGGCCGTTCATGTCGGTGACTATTGCCCCGATATACAATCTGAAGCTGTGTTGAGCTAGTTCGCAACACCTCGAATAACCTTTAGTCGTACGTTCACGAGGACACGAAATCAGCACCATCACCCTGACCACCGTCACTCGGTCTCTACCAAAGACTTTCTACTCGCTGAATTTGCCCGAGTCAGTAACGTCGTGACCCAAGATACCAGCTGGTATAAGACATCATCTATCACGCGGAACAGCCCTCGACAGCCCTGGAGCATGAAAGGCTGGAGCCTCACGTTGGGAGACAGCTAACTAGTGTAAGCAAACAGGCGTCGTATGACCTCGAGTATAAATACGGGGCCAAATGTCCTTGCTAAAGAAGAAGAGATCAGTATCAACTGCTCAGAGACACAGGAAATAAACACAAATCATCTGAATCTTGCCATCACTTCAGCTTCTACAACTTACAATGCACTTTATATTTCTTCTTTTCGCTTCGATCGCTGCCATCGCTGCAGCTTTCACCCTCCCCAAGGATGCGGCGGACGGTTTCTACGTAGCCTACTACAACGAAACCGGCCATGAAGTTCACCTCAAGGACCCCGACATGTCTAGCCTCGACGCCCTTGTTACAAGCAGCCCTGCTACCCCTCACATCCGCGGCACCACCCCTCTAGTACTGCCACGTGACGGCGAGACCTGGTGTGGTTGCAAGTACAGAATGAACAGCGGCAATTGTGACGGCGCAGTTCAGGGCCTGAAGAATCAGATGAGGAAGCAAAGGCTGGGTAGGGCATTTATCAACCCTGGAATGGCTTGGTACGAGATCAGAAGATCTGGCTCTTCCCGCCCGGTTGTGGCTTTCCTGTGCCGCACCAGGGGCGCCGGAGTTGGGGACATCGATGTCTATACTTATACTCAGAAGTTGCAGGAGATCACTGGATCCTGTGGGCTGTATGTTCCTGGAACAAGGGCGCTTGGCGCTCTGAGGGTCGGATACATGATTTACAATGAGGGTGAGGACTTTTGCAGATCGGCGACGGGTTCTACTCAGAACAGATGCTAAGGGGACCATGGAGAGCTCTGCTGGAGGACGAAGTATTTCGGTGAGATCAGAAACATTGGCACAGGCCGGTAATCTGCCAGGGGGGTTGGAATGCACTCTTTAGCTCTAAAGTCTGTCTTTATCGTCGTGGCTTCATAAAAATCACACTCATTTATGATTTCTTGTCGTTCCGCCCCTTGGTGTTTTGACTTGAAGGCTCAACATGCTACACGTATGAGGACCACCATATTTAAATCACAGTTTATTGAGCCAAACCCGGAGGCTCAGGAATACGCCCCCGCGTCTTTGAGCCACACAACTGTGAAATGAATGGGTTCGCTGGAGATTTGCCCATCTCCATCTTCCAGATCCGTTGTTCCATCGTCCTGTCCCACCACCATTCGTCGTTATCCCAGATTGTTCTTCGGGAGCCAATCTCATGGAACTGTCTCTTACTCCCTGCCTGGCACACCATCCACAGTTCTTCGGAATGCCGATATTTGTTGCCTGCATCTTTTACCTCGGCGAGATCTTCAGATATCCAGCAATTAGCCCAGGTGCGCTTCCCATCCAGCCACTCCGACCCCCATCGATGTTCCTCCCTTGGCCTGTCCCAATCGCCCGAGTAAAAGGTGACTTTCCTCAATTGGCCAACCTCATTCCTTTCCACCAGAAACTCAAACATGTCTTGTGCGCTCGTAACATCCAGCCGCGGGTGAGCAAACTCGTCCTCACCCGGGCCGCAGTTGCTGCTCATTTCCATTTTCCATCTCTCCCGACCCAACATCCTGTTCTTCCGCGCATCAATGGCTCTGCGACAGTAGCTTGCCATATCGAAGAATAAGGTCGCGTTCTCCAGCTTGGGAAACTTTGTGGCGAGGGCTTCTAGGTGTCTGTAAGGCCAGACATCATTCTGCCGCATGTCAATCGTGATGTCACGCAGATTTGGAGCCATGATCCCTAGCTCTGCGATCTGCTCCGGGTTGATGGACGATCTCCAATCTGCCTCTGCCTCGGACACCCTCCACTCAAGACTCGTGAGTGACTTTGCGTGATGGCGAATGACAGGTTCAGCCAACCGCCACGGTCTCCGGCTGCTCAACCATGCCAGATGTGCAAGCGAGTTCTCCGGCAGCGCTGTGATAAGGTCTCCTGTCCAAGGCCCGCGGGCCGTCAGAGATGTGAGAGACTTGAGGTGTGGTGCTAGTTGGGTAGAGTTGGGCGCATGGCTCTTAGACCTCGAGAAAATGCTTGGCTCTGGTGGGATGAGCACGAGTGTTTTGATGCGAGAAAAGTCCATTGCTTCAAGCCACAAGTCGAGATTCGTCATCTGCTTCTGCTGCTTCGAGAGCCACATCCACTTGAGCCAACTCCAAGCCTTGCCGGACCCGAGCCAGTCGAGGTACTTATGGAAGGTCGAGTCGGTGCTTGACAGCATTTTGCGCGCCTCTTCCCACGGCATTTCGTCAAACCTGTAGCCCTCTAAGTCGAGGACTTCTAGTTGCGACGGGTAGCGCGAGCCCGATGGGTACTGGAAGGGAAAGTCATTGCGGTCGGGCTCAAACTCGCCCTGGAGCTTGGTGAGAAGTAGCTTCAGACTTTTGACGGACGAACAATTGGAGAGCGTATTGTGTATTTCCTTCATGGTTTGCATCTCGGGATCACTTGGGTCTTCAAGCCTCCCATAGAGATACTCGCTATACTGCCCAATCGGAAGGACAGTGTCAATGACACTCGGGCACTGGAATGGCGGGTCAAAGAACTTGATCGTGGCCATTGCCCCGATAGTGAAGAAGGCAAAGCTGAACATGCGCCGTAGAAGAGAGTCCATGGTTGATGCTCTTGGCGTGAGTCTCATCGCTGTGAGACGTAATCACAGCTAAGAAACGAGAATATGTCGTCTGAAACATTTGCTGCAGTGGGAACAGAGTTTTAATCAGAAAGCAATGGCACAAGTGTCAAAGATTCAATGTCAAAAGTCAAGTGTCATCTCCAGACGATATTCCAGGCAGCCATTATCTTCCACCAGTATCCACTACTAGCCATTCTTGGCAGATCCACTCACTGCGGTCGATTCGGCAAACACTCTGACTGGTTCTGAATTCGTTTCAGGGGGACAATCAAGTTCAATTGCTTAGAGCCTTCATTTCCGAGGGGAATCCAGACTAAACACTGAGGCTTCAGAGAGACTTAAAGAGGGATCTAGCGTACGATACGAGAACAACTAGTCGAAGTCTGCGGGTTTTCGAGATTGCACAGCAGTTCGCTCAGCATCGAAACAGACACAAGATGGCCTTTGGAATGCCTGTCACGACATGTTCACTTAGGCTTCCTTATTTTTGAAAATTATAAACTTAACAATACCAACATAAACATCAAGAGATTTCAAACACTCTACGAAAGTGCTTCTTTCCACGCTTTCCTTCACCGATATCTTCTCAGTGTCGCCGTCGCACGAAAGCTGCCGGAGAGGTCGCCGCCTACTCCCTAACTTTCCATGTCGTCCCGTCATCATCGAATCTCACTCCCGCAAAAGCCAATGAAAGGTCTTGGAAGTCCTCTCGACTGTCTTGAGCGCTCTTGATCTTCCTTGCCAGAGCGAAATCGAGAAGAACGGCTTTGTTGTCCGAGCTCCTGATCACGATGTTGCGGACAGAGGTTAGATCGCCGTGGATCCAGCCCGCATCATGCATCCTCTTGACAGCCTCCAATGCCTTCTTCGCATCGTCCTTGTTGTTGGGGTCTGCGAAGCGCGACTCGATGAACTCGATCAGAATTCCTTCTTCATCAACACCGCAATCATCATAGACAAGCGCTCCAAACTTTGGTCCTACGTCCTTGCCATCTATAGCTTTGTAGGCTTCCTTCTCTTTCAAGATATGTTGCTTGTTGGAATAATCCTTCTTCAATATCCACGTGACGCTCTGATCCCATCCGGGGGCGATCACGGTCGCCTTGAATGCGTTTCCGTCTTTGCCACCCCCCACGTTTTCACCAATTGTCAGTTCATTTAAATTCAGCTCGCCGAAAAGGTCGGCGCCACCTTCTCGCCAGAAACCATCAGGCTTCCGTTTCTCGATTGTAATATGCTGTGGTACCCAAGCATCGAGTGTAAGCCAAGAGCAAAAGCTGCCAGAAACCAAGAGTAAGTAGACGTTACCTCAGATGCAGATACGGGGTGGCCAATTACAGCCTGGACACCCATGAGACCCAGCAGTTGAAAGGTAGGAAAGTGCATTTTGTCAAAGATATGAGAATCGTAGTGTGAAACAGCTGAATACCGTGGAACAACTTGGCTATGGACAATGAATGACCTCCAAATGGACATTTGCCTGTTTAATTTTCGCGTGGTCTTATAACCTTAAGAGAAGGCTTTTACTCAAGGTGTTGTCACCCATTCGGGCGATAATACATGTAGTCAACCTGTTGACTGCGCAATTTTCTTCGTGTGGCTGAGCCTCGGAATTTTCGAATGCATTTAACCGTCGTCAGCACGGAGTTCGGGGCTTAGACATGACTCTGAGGATTTCAGTCTCAGCTTATGTACTCGGACTTTTGGCGGCTGGACACTACCTAGGTAATCAACATGAGCCGACATCGTGTTTTCTTCGCACTTTCGGCTTTTTCGCGAAAAGAAATAACCTCTCGGATTGGTTTCTGTAAGCACCTCAAGAGAGCACTGCTCGGTTTAACACACTGGCTTGAGTCCGAATCTGACATGTGGCATGCATTTAGAAAGTACTGAGACTCTATCCTTGGATAACCGTGATTTGAAATACGAATCTGATGCGTGATTTCAATTACGTCCAATGGATGGTACCTGCACTTGCCAGAGAAATCACCTAGAGAAACCTTCATTTCCAATTGTGGCATTCCACATGAGCAAAAGTACAAGAAGAGGCGACAAATAGTTGAAAGTTCAAAGAACATCACCAGTATTGCAGACGTTCCAACATGCGATGCAGACGTCAGCTGTGTGGACTCTGCAAACTTTATGTCGAGTTCATTTGCTGATTCAAATGGAGAATACTTCTGAGTGATCCGCGATGTATCGCATTATAAACTCGTGGTGTAACCCGTACTGAGACTTATTCAAATTGTCATAATCATCTTGAAAAATACCTAAAAACGTTGCGACTTGATATCGTATTCGGGCCACACAAAAATGGCAAAACGGCCATAACCAGAAGAAGCGTTTTCCTACTCCGTCTTACTCTTCAAAGTCCATTGGCTTCCCTCATTAAGAGGTACACGTAAGCCCAAGTGTAGAAATGAAGCAATGTAGTAGAGAATTGCGAAAAGACAAATGACTAAACTTCAAGTTGACAAGAGCAATCTAAATGACAAAGTGATCCAGAACATTCTCCCAACTCGCAAACCTCCACGAAAACACTAGCAGGCCTTTCCTCTTCGCTTTACCTGAATCAACTCCATGACAGTAGACGACAAATCATGCCGCCGTTCTCGACGGCTTGACTCCATTCAGACAATTCTTCCAGTTTTTGTTCTTGTAAATCGTGCGAGCCGCGTTCTTCATCTCATCGAGCGTCTTCTTGCCGCCACTTTTCGCAAGACGGGCACCGCCCCTTGCGGCCAAGTCCTTGAGACGAGCACTCGTCCGCTGACCGATTGTCGCGAATCTCCCGACCACAGTCCTGGTAGCAGATGCAAAACGCCCGACGAAGGCCAAAATGGCCCTCAGAACGGCCTAGATATTGAAAGTCAGCATCTGCCTCATAGTTTGGTGAGGCTTTCCTCGGGAAGCCTGTTACGTACCGCGACAGGGTTACGCTTGTTGAGCTGGTGATAGGTGGCTTGAATATCCGCAGTGGTCTCATCTGAGGCCTCCGTACGTCTTAACTCTCCTACTAGTTCCTTAGGCACAGAAACTCTCGATGGCTCCTCGCGCTTCAAGCCGATGGGCACAATCGGATCCTTCCATCTCGTGTCTTTATCATCTTCAATCGCGGCCGCGATCTCTACATATGACGCTGTATACTCGTCCGAGTCAATATCCACGTCAGGGGCGTCCCCAAAGTCGCCCGGCCAGAACTCGTCAATCGCGTCGCCGGTCACAAAGTCTTCGGAGAAGAAGTCCTCTGCGTATGAAGATAGGGGGGCGATGCCGTCGAACTCGCCATAGATGGACAGCGGAACGAGCAGCAGACACTTGCCCATGCGGGTCCGCTTCTTGTTGCGCTTGTACTCGGTCCTCTTCTTATCCTTGACCTTGTCGACCATTTCCTTCTTGGTTTTCTGTCGCTTCTTCTGTTGGTACTCCTTCTTCTTGCGTTCGATAGTGTCCTTGATTCTGTCATATGAAGTCAGCAAGGCGCCTGTGATGCGAGGGCTTCTGTTTACAGACTTGTCATTTTTGTTCTTTTTCTTATCGTCTTGCGTCTTCTCGCACCCGTCACCCCTCTGTTTGGCCTTCTGGCCGTTCGGGCACTTCTCGCATCTGCAAGTGGCGGCGTTGCGGAAGTATGCGATGCTGCTGCATTTTCGCCTCGGGCAGGCCTTGCACGAATCCTTCTTCTTTCCTGGCGCCGTCTGTGGCTGCTGCCGCGCTAAGAGTTCAAGAGGCCTGTCGGCGAACGTAACCGAGGAGATGGCCTGGCTCTCTGGAACGGATACATCACCCGACAGTAACTGTAAAGAGAGCCGTGGGGCAATGGTAAATAGAGAAAGAATGAATTGCAGCTTCATGATGAATACTGAGTTGTTCTGGAGTCTAGCAACAGAACTGGACACAGAAGGGATGCAACCGCGGGTTTAAATAGAAGGGTATATGTACCTAGTCACAGAAGTTGCAATCAGCGACGTCGATGTAAGGTATTTGTGGGCGTTCATCAACTTTATGATCTTAAAAACTGCATAATATGCCAAAAGAACATTCTGGTTATGGATCTATGACTTGAGCGCGAACCATCCTCAGTCCGAGATCCTGTGAGATGCGCTGCCATCTAGCGTGGCTGAGTATCGGAGTTGGCTATTCCAACCAGTAAGCTAAGTCCGATATCAAAGAAGGAGCAAGCATGGTCCGAGATGAGATGAGAGAGTCGATGGGTTCAGTCTGAGGCTCAGTCGGAGATGAGACTGCAACAAAAGTGACATACTGAAGCACAGGATCTCAACCGGACAGCCGTCGAGGCTGCAAGCCATTCCTGCTCGAACGTAGCATGGCCATCCTGAAATCAACCTTCAATGATTGATTTCCTCCAAAACGGCACTTATTTGGAAGAAATTTTTTTAAAATAACACAGTACTATAATCCAGGTGGGCAGCGATCGTAATACTCGGACTTGCAGCTGGGGCTGACTTCCAGTGAGGCCTGCCATATGCGCATGATCAGTAGCTGACTTTAGATCTCTTTTGAGATTTCCACTGGCTGGCAATATATATTGTCGCTGGAGAACCTCCATTCCGATCTCTGTTCTCTGCAGGCAAGCTACTTCTTCCACAGTTCCATCGATTCATCGCATCCTTTTCACCGTGATTCACACTGTTCTAATACATTTAATTGACTGGAATTACCCTCCCAAATTGCCCTCCAGCGGTCACAACCTTAAACACTCCCATGATGCTCTCCAACCACCTCTTCCACCTCACTACCCTCGGCCTCGCCAACTCCGCAGCCGCCTTCACCTTCTACCAAAGCTGGGGCAACCCGCCCAGCGACCCATCCAAATGCAGCCGCGGCGCGCCGGGCGACTTCCTCGTCGACGGGCACTATTTCCACCTCGGCACGGGGTGCACGGTCGACGGCAACCACAAGGACCAGTCTATGATCGTCAAGGCAGGCGATGGCGACGCGGCGCTCGTGGCCGTCTTCTTCAGCAGCGACGACTGCGACCCGGACACGATCATCGCCGTGCTGGACGAGGCTACCGAGATTGACGGCAAGACGGGGTGTTTTGATGGCAAGTACGGTAGCTTTGACGTTTGGAGCGTTTGTGAGGATGGAGGGTTATCTTGTCCTGGTGTTTGAGGGCTTTTTGCCTTGAGGGATAGCAGGGTGGACTATTTGCTTGAGAGGGGAATTACTGTGTGAGATATGAATTGAGTATTTTGACGCTTCATAGCATGATCTCAGCCATGACTCAAAGGGTGAAAAGGCAAGAGTGAACATAGGGCGTGGATATTACTCCATGGCTGATATGGCCTATTAGTTGCTACCTATCATATGGTGATTCCGGGTCCCCAGGAAATCATAATCGCTGTTCCGGCTGAGACAGGCTGCCCGGCTGGAGGTGGCATCACAGCTTCAGCTCTTCAACTACGGCCCCGTTGGGACTGTCACCCCACATGACTTGACACTCTTGCACCTAGTCGGAATACCATAATGGGCATTTCTTCGCCGTCCTTCACAGAAAGTTTGAGGGAATTGAAAATACTAAGATGGTAGCGATCAGTAATCATATCACTGAGATCAACATCTCAACGCCTCTCAACATATTTACCATTTCGCGCCCTACTGCGCGCCCTGCGATCAAATGCCAGCTCGTCGCGTCTGAATAAAGACTACAAGTAAATCGAGTTCCAGCGATCATAACTATTGGAACAACTTTCTACAAACATCATCAGACAAAAAGAAATTCCCAAGAAAAAAGAAGAAGAAAGACATATCAGCAGTTCCCTCGAATTTGCCCATCCCACACAACATCGCCCAGCATGCCAAAGTGGGTATTCAACACGCCCCCTCGCCTTCTCACCGCCGCAGAGAAGCAGCGCATCGCCGAGGGTATGGCCGCAATCTACACCAGCGCCGGCCTGCCCGCCTTCTACTGCCACGCCCACTTCCTCGAGTTCGCCGCGGACAGCGTCTACACCGCCGGCGCCCCGTCGACGGACGTCGCCACCGTCGCAATCTACCACATCGCCGGCGTCTTCGACAAGCCCGAGATGGAGCAGGCGTTCCTCGCCGCCTTCGACGACGTCGTGCGCCCCGTGTTCAAGGCCAAGGGGATCACCTGGGAGTCGGGCGTCTACGAGTCGAGGAGGGAGCTGTGGAGGGTCAACGGGGTGGCGCCGCCGGCCAGGCTGAGCGAGATGGAGCAGAGATGGTTCGAGGAGGGACGGGTGACTGGCGAGGCGGAGCTGTTGAGGGCGCAGCGCGGAGAATAAGATGTTACGCTACTGTTGTTCTGGTCAAGTTGTGTCTTGTCGTCCTGGGATTGGAGAGCTTTCCTTTTGGTGGCAGAGGCAGGAACCTAAGCGTGTAGAACATGGCAACAAAGACCTCGAGCATGAAACAAAACACGTGTTTTCTATGAAACGATGGGTATCTTGCGCAAAGGAATGACTTAAACCGGCCCCTCTAAAACAGCGACATCGACTTCCTCCTCATCTTCAGGCTCATCCCGAGCCAGCTTTCTCAATCTCTCCTTCACAGCAGGATCCCTCTCCAGTTCCTGCCACAGCTCCAAGCGCCACTCGTCAGCGCAGACATCGTCTTCCTTGCGGACCCAAGGCCATCTCCATAGACCGGCGAGGATGAGACACCGCTGCAAGGTGCGGAATATAGTCTCCATCAGGATGAAGAGCAGAGTCATTATGATTAGGGTCAACCACCATACGGCGTCGGCGCCGAAGATCTTGGAGAAGCCATCGCGGACGGCATATGGTGACGGTGATGGGGTGTAGATGCCTGATAGGAAGGCGTTCCATGCCCACCAGCCGGAGAAGGTAATGAAGAAGGATCCCATCACGATGGCGGTCTTATGGTGGGTTTCGAGGATGCTGCAGATATGTTAGCCGTGAATCGTCTCATAGAAATAAGCAATACTCACAAGCACTTGTAGTTGATCCACACGACTCCCAGAGTGAATGCCAAATCACCCACGGCGAAAAGGCCCTGGTCGCTTGAGTGCGCGAACCACACGTACCCAGCCCATACACCCCAGTACGCCAGGACACCTTGGCAGGCTGCTGAAAACATCCATCCGGTGTACTTGGCTAGGTTTAGTCCCATGCTTCGCTGGCCGTACACGTACAGTTCCGGGACAGCGAGAAGCGTGTCGGCACTAAGGTCTTGCTCCCAGATGCCCATACAAATCACGCAAAGACTGGTAAACAGGGTATTGAAGACAGTCAAGCTGGCCATCTCATACAACGAGGTGCCAGTGTACCCATTGTAGCGCTGGTACAAGGCAGTCGGCAAATAGAAGAACATCTCCTTCCAGAAGGTGCAAAGAATGAACTTGGCAGTGCGGACATAGTTCCAACGGCCATGGACCAGGAGCAGTCGCTGTAGGAAGCGGAATTGGGCAATAGCATAGTCAGCTACACGCGCCGCCTGCAAACCTTCCTTGCCTGAGATGCCGACGCCGACGTGACTGGCAGAAATCATGGCCAGGTCGTTCGCACCGTCCCCAATAGCAAGCGTCAGGCCATAGCCCATACGGCCGCTCTTCTTCTTGCGAAGCTGCGATCGTACAGTCTTGACCATAAGAGCCTTCTGTGCTGGAGACGCTCGGCAGCAGATGACGGAGTCAACGAGTGGGACAACGGAGTAGAACTGCGCCGTCAGCTCGGGCGACTTCTCCACGGCGGCAAGTGTTTGTCCGTCAATGACCACGACGCTGTGAACAGTGCCTGAGTGCAGATCTTCTGACAGCGCAATCATTTGGCCCGAAAGATCTCCCTTTGTGACGTCTAGTGTGTATAGGTCGGACACTGGTTGACAAATGCGGGTGGAATGCGCAATATTGATGGCTGTCTCCCGCTTGTCACCCGTCAACATCCAGATCTTGATGTTCGCACGCCGAAGCTTGTCGATTGTCTCCGGGACACCTTCTTGAAGCTTGTCTTCGATGGCGGAAGCGCCGACAAGGTTGAAGGACTGCTCAATGGTCTCTGCCGCGGCCTCGATCTTTTCTTGCCGATCAGTCAGACTTGTGGCAGCGGCGTCAAATGACTGCTTCCAAGCGCGGTAGTCCTGATCTGAGATAAACTTTTGAGCGAAAAGCAGGGTGCGAAGTCCCTCGGTGGCGAAATCGTCCAAGTGCTTGAAGCACCTTGTGAAAATGCTGGAGTCGTCCGCAATGGACGGGTCGTCGAGAAACGCGAATTTCTCAGGGGTCTGGTGGGAAAAGGTCGGCGCTGTAGGGGATGCTTCAAAAGACGCTGTTCGGACGTTGATCGAAGGTCGCAAGAGATCGCCGGATTTGCGAAGCTTGCTGGCCTCGAATGATACACTCCGATCCATTGTCGGTCTTGAACTTGGACCAGGCCCAGGGCGCTGCAGACCAAGGCTTCGACGTAGTGTCATACTAGCACGCCCGCCGATGCTTGTCCTTGGCTCATGTTGCTCGCTCTTTCGGAGGAGCTCACGCTCGAGGTCTGCGCTCTTTCTCACATCCTGAGCCTTTTGCATCGCTATGTTGGCCATCTTTAGCCTCGGCAGGATGACGGAATCGGCGCCTTTGCAAATGATACAGATTCTTCCATCAGGATATCGCACGACAACAGACATCCGCTTGCGATGGCTGCTGAACTCGATGACGTCCAAAATGTCGAAGGTGAGGTCCTTGTCGGCTTCTGACGCGAGGCGGAGGGTGACGCTGGTGGAGGATCGAGAGACCACGGTGTACCCAAGCTCTTGAGTAGCCCGGACGATGGCCAATTCGTCGGGGGATGAAGACTGATACTCCACTTCGCCATCTCTTATCTCTGGAAGGCAAGTGTGGCACAAGGCCATGGCGAGGATGTAATCTTTCGCTCTTCTGGTAAACAATGAGTGCGGCCTCAAGGCAATGAATTCCAATAGGTCCTTCGTCGTTACGTCTGGCTGAACATGGTCGGGGCGGCCTGTGGATCTCCACTGTGAGGAAGATCTCCTTGTAGACGGTGCTCGGGACTGGGCCATCGAAGGCCTGCCAAAGGACGTTGGGGACTGGAGGTAGTCGTCCGAGATTGCCTCGGGTCTGATGTACTGCGTCGAAATACGAGGCCCATTCTTGACTTCGGAGAGGGTATCGACGGAGCTATTCTCGCATTCCAGGTCGACATCAGGCTGGTGCAGCCAAGCTGTGCCCGCGATGCTCAACTTTCGGAACTTCATCACATTTTCAGTGAGCGTGCCAGTCTTGTCGGTGAATATATAGCCCACTTGGCCCAGGTTCTCGAGGATGGTATTTGTGTTGCATCGAGCCGGCGTGTCAGTTTCGGCGTGGTACATGTCGATGTCGGAGTTGAGCATGAGTAGCTGGCCAACTTTAACAATCTCAAGACTGACGTACAAAGCCAGCGGAATGACGTTGTTGAACTGAATGATGTAGCCGATGATAATCTCGTGAAGTTTGACTTCCGCATCTTGAAGATACCACGTCCTCCGCTCTTGGGACCTCTGCCACATAATGTAACCCATAGAGCATCCGATCGAAAGGACGACAACGTATATGGCCAACGTGACGACGATCTTATTGGCCACGGTCTCGAGGGCCGGCTTCTTTGCTTTGGGATGCTGGTTCGCGTTCATGCGGATCTTACATTCCTCTCCGGTGTTGATCACGATGCCGATCGCGCAACTAGTATTGCGCAGAATGCTGCCACGGTAGATAACTTCGGCCGACGTGAGTGGCAGCGACTTCCCGTTGACGGAAACCTTTCCATCAAACTTGTAAAGGTCCGGGTTGGGGTCTTCGACAACGAACTCCGCGTCGCAAGCGGTGATTCCCTCGCCAGTATCGCAGCCAGTAATCGCTGTTGAAACTTGTTTGCTCTTCAGGTTCGTTTCGCCGTCGAGGGCCATTGTCTCGATGTAAGCCAGACCATTCTCTCCATCTGCATGCAGCAGCACGATATCCGCCGGGACGGGGTCGTCGCGCGCCAACTTGATTACGTCTCCAACCTCGATATCGGCCCATTTCGTCCAGACCCAAGGTTCATCTTGTTCTTCGAATGTCTCATCGCCGTCTTTCTTCCGCAACTTGCCCTTCAGTCGTGAAAACCAGCTGGCAGCGCTGGCGTGGTGGTGCTGGTTCGAGTGTTTGAGCACTTTGGCGGTGCACGCATTTTCGACTTTGTCAAGCCGATGTCGTTTGAAATCGTCATATCCTTCCTTCGCCACAGTAACCAGGACGAAGAATAACAGCGGGAGGATAGTCGTGAAGTTTCCGGTCGTGGATAGCCCTGGTACGGTCTGCGGTACACCAACGCAGAGGAAGTAAAAGTTGCCGATGCGGGAGAACTGGAAGAACAATTGCTTGGGAATGAAGTCGTAAACGGTGTATCGGGACGTTCGGATGGCATTGGATACGTAGGGATGACCGCCTCGTCGCTCGTCCGTAAGCGGCGCATCTTGGTCCAGTTGCAGTGGAATATGGCGCCCATTCTTTGATGGCGGTAATGTCTTGCGACCGAGGACGACTTCGAAAAAGATGCTCTTGCACCAGGTGAGGGCGTCGCGCCCAGAGGATGTGATGGTCTGCTGTGATTTCTCCATTGAGTTATTGTCGGCGCCGTGCGGCGGCTCGCCCGGCGGTGGCGTTTCGGTGCCCGGTTTCTCGCTCATGGTCGCGGTCTCAATTCATCCAAAAAAAAAAAAAAAAAAACCGAGTGACAGATGCAAGACGCCTTTCTTGCAGATTCGATCATGCCTCAAACATTAAAAGACGCCAGCCTGGTCCACCGCATGGGTTCGTTCAGGTGCTGCGGTTCGTAGGGCTGCATCAGACTCGGTCGGGCGCGCGCGCTTTGATTGTTCGTCTCTCGAAGGTTGGTCTCCTGATGGCGATGCTTTAACGTCGTCGGACGTGCAGAGGACTGAGTTGGACAATGCGAAGAATAGCCATCCTGTCGTCTCCCCGCGAACAGCTGATGCTTTGACGGAAGCAAGAAGCGAAAGGATGGCGGCAAGCCGTGGGAAATCGTGGGGAGACGCGGACCCAGTGAGCAGGGAAAAACAGCGGGCATCGAGTTCGTCATTAACGAGGTGCATCTCACCCGGAGTGGGCTGCCAAGGCCAAAGACACCCTCGCGAAATTAGACACTGCAGGATGCTAAAGATATCGATCCAGCAGCTTTCAGAAAGTCGTCCGCGCATGCGTCAGCGGGCAGCGTCCCCCGTTGGGACCGTTATCCCGCGCTGATCTCCCCACGTGGTGGGAACGCTGGCTGGGGGG